GGGAAGCGTCACAGGGAACCACAATTCCTCAATGGCTTTGCTCGCCAGTTCTTGGACCGATTCGTCTTCATCTGCCATTCGCTTGACGAGTCGAGTGCATATATCCACCTTGCGCTCCGTATCAGTGATGATTCCATAGAAAGTCTTGAGAAGTTTGATGACGCGCTTGCGGACTGCCAATCCTTATCCTGCAGACTGGTCGAGCGCATTCTTACGAGGCAATGAAGGTATCACTTACCGCAATGCGGTCCGCGATTTTCGTGTAGTAATCGCCTGCGACCTGGGGCCAGTCGATCATGTATTTGCCGATCAGCTCGACCGCCGCATCCCGCACAGCAGATGAGCTATCCAGCAAGGGACGCTCGATGCCCCGCCGCACGCTCGCTTCACCGAGAATGGTCGGATCACTCATAACAATTTGGCCCAAAGCACGCAAGGCTTTGGTTCGCATGAAGATCGCCGGCGCGTCTAGTGCAGACAAGATTACATTCAAAATCGGCTGGAATGAGTTGCGAAGCGTCTGAATCGAACCGATTTCTTCCGAAAGACGATCAATGCGTTGAACCTCCTCTTGGGAACTGCGCCAATCAGGCCTCGCAACGGGAGAAAGCTCGACAGGCTTACCCAACATCAAACACATCCTGCGCCTGATCTTTCCACACGTTATGCATGGCCGACTTGAGTTTCTCCCCGAACGCCTTGAGCTTGCTTTCATCTCGAATGGCCCCCTCACCATCGCTAATCATCCACAGATTGACCTTCTCAAGAGCGACTGACAGTTCTTGCGCAAACGTCGCGGCCGTGAGCTCTCGAGCGCTCTATTAGAGGTGGGTGTTGGAAGCTCGCACAGATATCCAAGGAGAAAAACGTACCGCATAGGCTTGCTCCTCTTCTGACCGTTTGATGAGATGGGCAAATACGTCTTGGTGTGCAGATAAAAGCCGATCCAGCGACTTGATCTCAAGGGTGGACGTGATCTGCAATAGTGCTTTAGGAGGCATGTGCATCTATACCGGCTACAACTTACGCGATCAATCGACTTGAGGGGCTTGGCAGCATCGGCAAATTTGAGCACCCACAGCGGATCCTTGCTGCAATAATGCCCAGATGATCCAGAGCCATTGTCTTGGCCGCATTATTCGCGTCACCGGAAGTCTTGACATCCTCTAACGCGGCCACCATGTACTTCGTCACAATGTTCAGGATAAAGCTGGCAGCAGGATACTCGGGCCAATACAGCACCGCGAGCAGATCAGAAATCAGATTATCAAAGATTCCACGATACTCGGCTTCGTTGCTCGTTTTCGTGGCTTTCCCTTTCCCTGAGCGCTGTGTCAAAAAAGCGATGATTTGTTTTGCGGCCTTTGTGGCTGATTCAAGACCAGACCGATACAAGCGCGTTTCAGCATGGTCTTGTTCATCCAGAAATTCTTCCTGCTGATGCAGTTTAAGTTGACTCTCAGTCAGACTTTCTGCCCGTTTCAAAGCAAACTTGTTGCGCCGTTCTTGTGCAATGTTTTGTGCTTTGAGCCGAACGTCATGCGCCGAAGTCTGAACGAGCTGCAGTAACAGAGCGGAAACCGTCCTGATTGTCCGACCGTCTCGCAGTCTGGATGGGTCAGAGCCTACGTTCCCAGCCGGGTTCAGACAAACACACACCGAAACTGGCCAGCCCTTTGCTTGGAGTCGGACAATTTGATGAGCGATGTCAAGATCTCTTCAATGATCCAGTCCCGCTGATCACCATGGTTTGCGAAGATCTGCGAGGTGTCAGAGATGGAAGCCAAATCGATGGACGTGCTGACCGCTCGAATCAACGACAAGGCATGCAACCTCAACCCTCTCATTGCACTCTTTCCGAAGGTCCTGATCACAATCGCACTATCCTTCTCCTTCTTCCCACTTCCATCTTCACCCGAATCCGCTACAAAGAAAGGTCCAATGGCAATATAAACCGACTGGATTATGATGTTATCTGACATGGACACCGAGTCCGCATCGACCAGTGAGCTCAGCTGCGGGAAAACAGCCGATATCACCTGGAAAAGCTCGCTCAACACATGTCGATGAGCGCCCTGCCACACAACGTGATCAAGCTGCACGCTGATTCCTGCCGAGCCTGGTATCCCGCCCGATCCAGCTGCAACTTCTACGAACGGATAGATGATTGTTGTGAGCTGGTTTTTGACAGCATTCATGCATGAAGTAATGAGCTCCTCCGAGTACAGCTGCTCTGAGGTTAGGACCAGATGCGGCTTGTGTCAACAAGGCCAGCACAAACGAACCTGCTTTGTCAAACGTCCAGAACCTAACAAGGCGAGACAGCATTGGACTGCGAAGATGCTATCCTTTCCAATCTCTAGAGCGCGGCTGAGCATTGCATAATCCAGATCGGATAGCTCGACTCGAGCAGCTGGGGAATCATTGAATGCGGTCCCGATTTCATCCTCTCGTTGCTTAGCCTTGCCCTTCTTGATTAGCTTCTTGGGGGAATTATTAGGAAGAGATGCTGCTGCCGGTGTCACGACGGGACCCGCAAACGGATCAATATCCTCGCCGGCTTTGACTGATCGCTCGAGCAGCTTCAGAATACGAGACAATATCGCAGTGTCCATATCTGCGATCGTTTGATCCCTGGAACGCGGTGTGCTTGTCGCATTGGCATGTCGAACGCGTTTCGTGGGTTTCCCTACCTGGCCGATGTATTTCGTTAGTTTGCGGACCGTTGTAGTGGCGAGCAGGGGCTGAGAACAATCGACGGTCGTCTGGCGCGAGAAAAATCGGGAAGGGAAGCTAGCTCGGTATCTGGGGCAAGCGAATCTTCTGCTTCGAATATCGCTTCGAGGATGTAGGTGAGCTTCTCAAGTGGGGCACGTTCATCATGCTCTCCGGTGCGTCGAGAAGAGGTGACTATGCCACTGGAGCTGCGTCGTTGGGGACTGCTGTCTGATCCATATCCGCCCAAGTCATCTGGCGATTGGGCACGGCGTTTGTTGGGAGATGCCCACGGCGAAGACGGCACCTCAACGTACAGCATCTGCATCCGTGGTCTTGATGGCGTTGAAACCACAGATGTAGGTGTGGAAGGTGAAAATCGAGACCGTGGACCTGTGCTCGGTGTCGCTGGCACAGATGTCGGCGCAGGTGAGTGCAACGCGCGCTTCACAGTAGGGGATTCAAGCTGCGTCATCGATTTACGCTTTCGGGGCGTAAGAGCAGGAGTGATGATGGCCAGAGGATCCGGACTTTCATCTGTTAAGGCTGGCACTCGAGTCTGGGGCGTTTTGGGGCGGACTGGCGCCAAATGGGACTGCGATACTGCTTCGGAGAGCGGTTTGGACGCGACGACAGTCTGATCCAATCGTCTAGCATGGTCCTCGAGAAAGTGTTCAAAAAAGGCGGTAGACTGTTGGGGCTTGTAGACCGTGTGTCCGTTCGAAGGTGGTGGGGGACCAAGTGCACCGGCAAGAGATGATGAAGAGGTCGCCGGCGGCGGCGGTGTCGGATATGCAGTGGCCGGGTTAGTTCTCTGGATAATGGCTTGAGCAAATGGATTTGTCCGATACGACGAAAGTTGCGCATTGGGAGGCGACCAGGCAGAGGGATATGGATAGGAGCTTTTCAAGGAATCATGTTGATCCAAGGCCTGAACAATCAGAAGAGGGAAACGTACGGTTCAGTTTGCTGACTTAAATAATGCGTCGCCTCTCCGCGCGAAGCCTCCCAAAAGCCGGAATCATCTCCTTCAGATCGCACAAGAGATTCGACTACAGAAGGATATTGCGAGTACTGTGGAGGATTGCCCTGAGGATGAGGCGCGTAATACTGCGGTTGAAGGGCAGAGGGAGGTGCTCCACTGAGTGTCAGAGAGCTCAGGTGTCGAGTGACTGGGGTATTTGAGAACAATACATTGATTCATTATTGCGGAGTACGGACCGTGAGCAGACGGATTGGCTGAAGCAAGAGGGTAGATGGCCAACAGACGATGGGACTCCTTGACAGGGTCAGGAGGTTGCTCACCGGTCATCGGAGCGCCCTGAGTCGCGTACGACATGAGGCGCGAGAGTGAGCGCGTCGGGGTATCAAACATGTGCAAACTGATTTCTGCATCGAGCACTCGCTAACGCGCGATTTTCTGTCAGGCTTTACTTCCAACCTCAGCTTCCAATGGCCATATGAAGGCGAATAGAAAGAATCGGGATTGATATGTACTGCGCGCTATGTATGTAGGTGCATGTGCAACAACTCATTCGTCTCCATTTGAGTGCAAACAGTTCTTACCATGCTAAGTCGTCGGCCTTTGCCGGACCCTCCCGTGCTACCAGTGATGGAGTGATGCCCGAACTGGCACTTTCCACTTAGTCCTTTCTCCTACCTCGTCATGCCCCGAGCCAATCTCGAAGCTCCCTCCAGGCTTTCGGCAATTGTCAACAATTTAAGAGGTCTGGACCTCTGTCCAATCAAGTATCGGGGACTGACGAGGATCACTTCAAAGCCCAACCGCGGTTGACTCTACCCCAACTCTCCTCTCTCCGTCTCACGCTCGCGTCTCGCAATGACCACTTCGGCGCTCGGTCAGTCTCACTGCGTCTTATTTAATTCACCCTTCATGCTGAGAAATACAACAGACATTTCCTCAAGGAGCAGCTGCCGCGGATACGTTTTGCAAACCCGGACCTTGACATCAAAGTCCGCAAACTAATCAAACGACCACAAGATGAATGGAGGCCTGAGATTGAGTTGTCTTTCCGTGTGCCTCCTCTTTTCTGTACCAGACTTTAGCTGAACTGACATTAGGTGATGGCAAAACGCAAACAATGAATTTGCATGCACAATGGTCAACCTCCATCGTGCGCAGCCTCATGGATGCCGCAGGTTCCCCTGCGTGGTTCCGTTGGCTGACTGAAGTAGAACGGACTGGGGCGCCAATCTTTCCAGGTCAAGAAAATGCGCAGGAGAGCATTTCTGCCCGTAGCGTTGGCCCTGAACCTCGGTTTTCGTATGACCAATGGAAAGCCAAACACCCTGGAAAGATACGGGATGTGAAGAAGCAACAGAGGGCGGCAGTTCGGCCAGTTGTGCTTGTCGATCGTGCACAGGCAACGATAGAAGCGGGGCAGAGAAAACAGGCGAGAAAGGAGGCAAAACAGGCGATGCTGGATGCACCACGATTGGCTGAGGAAGAGGCTGAAAGACGTGTTGCGGAAGAATTGGCCTCCAAACCTCGCACAGGTGCAGCAGCTATATTACCTTGAGCACATATCGTCACTACAATTTGATTGGTTGGTTGAACGTGGGTTGACTGGACATCTTTCTACATACATATGCGGAATTAAGATTTCCGACTTCTCATCACTTTATTTCGCAAAGCTTTCTCTTTGAGCTCGCTCTCCCTACGCTCCAGCTCGGGTGACTGCAGGTGAACATGGGTGCGATTCGTTCTCACAGTAACAAAAGCACGTACTTTGGTCGGCTGACGCTGGACCTCTGCCTGGCCCTTGATCTTGAGTTCTGCGGGCCTTGAGTTCCTGCTGGAAGACCTGGAAACGTGGCGACGCGATGCAGTATTGGGTTGGTACTCGTTTGCAGGGGAAGACAGTCGACGCCGACGAGTTGGAGGACTACGACTATCACGTTTCCGATCAAAGGTGTCCGAGTTGGCAGAGCGGGAGCGGGTGCGCGACCGAGCTCGGCGTCGGCCAACCACAGGAGACCGCGAACGTGTCCGGGAACGAGAGCGAGAAGAGCGTGTATCAGACATGGAGCGGCGGGGAGGACTACGTCGCATTGGTGGAGGGGAACGAGAACTGTTGATATCCCGTGATATCGAGCGTCTGCGAGATGGGGAGCGGTATCTACGAGTAGGCGGCGTCATGGAGCGCCGGTGCATAGACCTAGATCTGAGACGGCCCGATCTTGGTGAACGCCGGGAAGGCTAGAGAAAGTCAGGAGATATTCGTCAGTTAATTGGAACACAAACAGTGATGCCAACGTACCCCACCGCCTCTGGAACCCCATCCCGTATCTCTTGTGCGCCCTCTTCCTCCCCCTTCCTCCATTCCCCGTCCCTTACCTCTACCTCCCCATCCACCTCGAGCGCGTCGGTTATCAGAGACTTCATCAATTCGAGCGCGTCGGTCTCGCTCATCGAATGTCCTTGTGTCGCTTTCCCGCGCTCTGCGCAACTCTTCTTTTTTCTCTTCAACGAATGTTCTCGGAACACCGGTGACTTCTGATTGAGCCTCTATCAACAAAGACCATAATGCTGCCATGAAAGTTGGGGCGTCCTTGTTGAGAAAGGCCTGAAGACTGAGTTGTAGTTTTCGAGGATCGGGAGCCTGAGGTGCTGATTTCAGCGACGGTTATACCTAGGTGAGTCATGATTCACCGGTTCGTCCAGTAGTTCGAGAGCATATCCAATGAGGATGTCATCCTCGAATCCGACCAATTCTACGATCTTTTTGGCTATCCAGGGTCTGATGACGTTCAGGTTCACTTTTCGCATGTCAACCTAGATATATGAGACAATTTCTAGAGAGGGAGGGCTCCACGAACCTTGCTCTCGAAGTTGGCGGGAAATTTGGTTGATCTGAGGAGCTTTGCCTCCTTGTCGACAAAACGCCTGTCCTGCTCAGCTGATGTACCCTTGAAAAAGCCTGGGAGGGATAAGCAAAAGAATACGTGAGTGGGTGGAGTATACCGTCTCAAGCCTATTCTTACCGGCGTCCGCCATCGCGGTGGTAAGATGAGTTCAATGCTAACCTAGGAACGGTGGACTGCGAGAACACAGCACAAGTCGAACAAGCGCAGAACAAACAATTGTCAGCACGTGTCCCAATTGGGAACACGTCGCGCACTTCCTCTCTCACAATGCCCCGTAAGAAGCCAAGCACCCCCGACATCGTCACAGCGTCCAGCAATGGGCTCGCCTCTTCAACACTGTCGTCACCGCCCTCCCCAGACTCAGAGCGGCCGCTGGGGCCCCTGAGCCTTTCTCCATTGGCTGGCACGCGCGAAATAGTCAAGGTCAATAACCTCAGCGTGACAGAGTTGAAGAACGCCTGCGATGATGCTTTGAAACGAGTTCGCTTCCTTCTTCTGTCTTCATCGCCAATCTCATTGCGTCCCAGTGTCTGTCGCGACCGGAACTCTTCAAACAAATCCACCAGCACACTGACGTGCGTTTGGCGTTGGGCTGGCTGAGTGTATTTGTGGCGGGTGGTACCGGCCTGTATGGATACAAAGTAGAGTTCGAGCAAAGCAAACCGGTTGTCTGGGCTGGTCTGATATTGTGCGTCCCACCGTTTATCTTGCTTATTTGTTCGCTGACTTTTCCGCCAGGTACATGCTACTCACTTTCGTGCAAACTTTGTATTCTTATTTCATCGAGGGGGACATTGTCTTTGTCGGCAAACGCAAAACGTTTTCTAAACGTGTGCGTGTCATGACTGTATCATTGACGCGACCTCATTTCGCTTCAGATCGTCACTGAGAGGATAACTCTGTCATCGCGCACAATTCCAGCCTCCATTCCTCCAAAGTCCACAACAGCGGTTCCTCCACAATACGCGCTGGCGCTAACATATGTGCGGTCGACGTCTGCCAACAAAAGCTTGCTCGCCAAAGGCAAGACGCAGACATCGGTGGCTTACTCGCACTTTTTCGATACTGATGGGGTTTTTGATGCCCTTGCGTTCGAACATTGGGTTGGCACTCTTGTTGAAGAGGGCATGGGTGGGGGCGTTTCCGACAAAACGGCATGAACAAGTTTGTATTTAGTCAAGCATTCGTGATTTCATTTTCGCTGTGTCGAGTGAGGATTTTAAAGCTGGAATGGGTACTTCTAGTACCCGCGCTATGCATGTTGAAACCCAAACAATCGCCCAAGCTTTCAAGAGCTGGACCCCCCAAAAAACCGATGATGAATATGCACGCACAGTCTTTTGAGGTACTGTGTTGTATAACTTGTATTCGGACCCTTTCAGATAGGCGCAAACAGATTCGACTTGCCCGGTGAATTATGTCATTATACTGGAGTGAGGTACAGGATAATATTATCAGCAATCGACAGAAGACCGTCAATCTATTTTCTGTGACCCTGAAATCCTCCAGAGAGTTTATACTTTGATATATGACGCAGTTGAGGAGCTTAGGGCGTCGGACCCATCAACCATCGAGACTTGGCCTGAGGGACGCCGAACGGCAAGATCAGTCCCCAGGTCACGTGTGTTTCCTGTGATCGGTGCAACAATCTCACCTGCACGCACTGCTACTTACTATCTCGAAACTATCTCGAATGTCCAGTGACCTCGACGAGTGTGTAACATTGATATGTCCTCTCTCTCTGCTCTACTCAATCAGCACTCACCAGACAGATCGAGAAGCTGAAGCGCTGTGAGCCCATCTCAGAGGAACAAGTAAAACGACTGTGTGTCAAAGCTCGCGAAATCTTAATCGAAGAGGCCAATGTCCAACACATAGACTCTCCCGTGACGGTACTCGTTTTTCGTCTCATTCTTTGTCGCGATTCTGACGCGTTCTTCGTAGATATGTGGTGATATCCACGGTCAATTCTTCGATCTAATGGAGCTCTTTTCTGTCGGAGGGTTCTGTCCAGACACCAACTACCTTTTTATGGGTACGGGGCAGAATCTGGGGTGATACAAACCCATCACTTACTGTCTGGTAGGCGACTTTGTTGACCGAGGGTTTTACAGCGTCGAGACCTTTCTCCTACTACTCGCTCTTAAGGTCCGATACCCAGAACGAATGACGCTCATCCGAGGCAACCACGAGTCAAGGCAAATAACGCAGGTGTATGGATTCTACGATGAGTGTCAACGAAAGTATGGAGGAACCAACGTCTGGCGATGGTGTTGTGAGGTCTTCGATTATCTTGCTTTGGCAGCTATCGTCGATGGACGGGTCTTGGGTGTCCACGGTGGATTGAGCCCCAATCTTGCGACAGTTGATCAGGTGGGTTCTACCTGGGAGGAATCCACACTGTCTTACCGCCATCCAGATCCGAGCTATTGATCGAAAACAGGAAGTACCACACGATGGCACAATGTGCGACCTGTTATGGTCAGATCCAGATGGTATGTGACTCATTCTCGCCGACTGCTCCATTATTCACTTGTGAGATAGACATACAAGGTTGGGGACTGTCACCCCGCGGTGCCGGCTATCTTTTTGGAGCAGACATCACCAAGCAATTTGCACATCTCAATGGATTAGACTTGATTGCGCGAGCGCACCAGCTTGCCATGGAAGGCTACAAGCTGATGTTCGACCGGACAATAGTGACTGTGTGGAGTGCGCCCAACTACTGCTACAGATGTGGAAATGTCGCCTCTATTTTGGAGCTTGATGAACACCTAAGCCAGGAATACAAGGTCTTCTCACATGCACCAGTCGACGTTCGTTCTGCACCAGCAAAGAGACCTCCGGCAGATTACTTTTTGTGAATAATTTATGCAAATCACATGTATGATATCGGTCGTAAATCATCGATAGCCCGTGTAACCGCTGTCGTAGTTGGCCGGCTGGCTGCCAGTGGGACCACTGTGGATAGAAGCGCGGACCGCTGCATACGGGTCGGCGTATTGCATTGTCCGACTCACCTGTGGGCCCAGGTCTTGCTCGGGGATCACAGGTGGTCCGCCGAATCGTGGCGCGGCTGGGGAGAAACCCGACGGCGCTGGATCAGAGAATGCTCCATATGCATCCATGCTCGGTCGTCCAGCGGGTGCCGGAGTAGAGTACCGGTTGGTATCGGAGAATGGGTTTCCAGCACTGGATGGAGGGTCGTAGGCGGATGGGGATCCCGATACACCGCCTTGGCGAGGTCCCGATACATGTTGATACTCTTCGTCGTCAGGGTCATAATCCATTTCGTACTCAGTTGCTTCCTGCGTCGGGTGCGTGAATGGAGGGTCCCGTGCACCGCTGTGCAACTTCCCGGACCGCCAATCGCGAAACAGGAAAGCTAAAGAACCCAGCCACACCAGGAAGGCACCCAAGAAGAAGATCGACCCAGCCTTCTTGGTGCTGCACCACCCACCAAGATCCTTCTTGAATTGGTCTCCAAGCTTTTCGTGGGGGTCCTTGGATGGATTGATGCATCCCGGCTCGGTAAACGCAGAGATGATCGTCGAAAATGCAATGAGCAACGCAAAAGCAGTCCCAGAACCATTCAGGATGAACCCGACTCGCACTTCTCTCAAAGCCCGGGCCAGGCGAATGGCTTTGTCATATTTCTGCACAATACTGAGTCGCGGAAGGAGCAGTCGCAAGACCCGATACCTCATATGCAACAGGGACGAGTAGCATGAAGAGAGGAAGGAATATTCCCATGAGTGACAGAAAGATCGCCAAGCCAGAGAGTCCAGCTGCGAAACTTCAGCAACGCTCGATGATCGCGACAAATACTACTTACAGACTCCTATCTTCCATTTTGCCTGGAATGCTGCCACACTTGCAAAACAGCACATGGCCAGGAAGTTGAAAAATATCTGCAGGGCGTGGCAGACAATCATTGGTTTGGAAATGATCATCTAAGCAACATAATCTCAGTAAAGGTTTCATATCGTATGCATAGATAATGGGCATGCCTCGTCCACGTGGCAATTGAGCCAAGGGACGAGCGTGAACTCCAGAATGCGAAAGACAGATGACACGTACATCCTCCTCGAATGGAGCGTGGCCCACTCCAGCACTTCCTATGCCTAGAGCAGCGGGTGGGGGTCTATTGCTGCTGCGTTCGGGAACAACCTTCGCAACCCCTTCCTTGAACCGTTCAAGGAAATCCATTCGAAGACGACTAGGCGGGTGGTGTTGATTATGGGGATGAAGGTCGGGAGAGGGGTTTCAAGAAGAGCAGGCTGCGCTGCTTCGTTCGTTTACGACGGGCTGCGCAGGTTATGTTCAGGATGCGATGCCATTGGTAATATCCCCAGTCGGAAGGAGGCGGTGGTGACATCACTGATCATGTATCGATCACGATTCAACCACTACGGAGTCGGCGAGAGCCCGTGTGCCGCTTTACCCCACATCCTGATGATTCTTGAGGACTTGAGCCGCTGAACTGGAGATGGCCCTAAAGGAACGCGTGCGGAATGTGCTCAAGAGTCTAAAGCCTGAATAACTCCCCCCAACGACTTCGTGTAATGGACTCTCAGGATAAATTGGGATAGAGTGCTACCTAGGAAGAGACCAGCTAATGAACGGACGGTCTAAAACGCTGCAAGTGCCTCGGCCGCCCCCTCTTAAATACCCAAGGGTGTCCGTGAATGTGCTCATTCAAGATGGGAGACTACGACCTTGTAATTGGTGCAGTGTTGGCTGGGCATTTTAATCTCTAGCTCAACGCACAGATACTCACAGGTGTCCTCCTGCTCGGTCTCTTCTTCAACACATACCTCTATGGAATCTGCACGTATCAATTTGTGGCCTACATGCAATCTAGTACGCCTCAAATCAACGCTGTCCCTATAAGGCTTCGTTAACATTTCAAAATTCGCAGAGTTTTGCGATCCTTGGTGGATTCGGTGGGAGCTTCCCCGTTCTTTTCTCCTGCTACTCAAGTGTATATCGCAGATCCGTTGTTGGAGCTCTCTTTGTTATCGACACATTGCACAGTGCAGTGTACAACTTGTCGTTTGTTCGTGGCATCAGGGCTGATTCTCATAGGGCTGTGTACGCGGGGTGGCAATCTTGGTAAAGAGTTCAATCTGTGTTCTCTTGGTCGCGTTTTTTAACATATGCTAGCGTGTCTAACTACGGAAACCCGGCCAGTTTAGGATGTAAGTCGGATTGTGATTTGATGTCCACAGAACGTCGACTTACCTATCCAGCAGATGTTGGCTGGACCATCCCCTTCACGGCTGTCGCGACGTCTCTGACCGCGATTGTCTCTCAAATCTTTCTGGCCCACAGGTGAAAAACTTGGTAACTGTATAATTTGACCGATACCAAGGATGATGGCAGGGTATATCTTCTCACCAACAGCGAAGCGCTGTTTTGTTCCATCTCTTTCTTGTCGGTGCTAGGCTTTGTCTTTGGCTGCGTTGCTGGCATCAAGTCTGGGATTATCGACGAGTGCATCTCTCACAACCGCAGCCAAAGATACGTTCTAACGCCACATGATCTTCACAGAGTAGCCAAATTTGGTCCCATAGCGGCATATGTCACCGTCTGGCTTGGTCAGGAAAACGGGTCTCATCGAATCCATCTCACGCATCCTCCAGCGTTCCAGACGAGCGCGGATATAGCCATCACCAGTACGTACGGACCATCTTCCATAGGCGCGCCTTTGTCACCTGAATGATTGGCTAGTGTGCCTTACCATTTCGTTGACACGTTCCAAGACTGGCTTCCGGGCCACAGACAGTGTCATCAATAAGCTCATCGGAGGAGCCATCAGGACGGGTGCGTGCTTTGCAGCCCGTCCTCCGCAGAGTCTAATGAGCTTTAGGGTTGTTCGCTTCAATGTTTGCATTCGGAGATTTGTTTTCGTTCCTTCTGCACCGAAACACCAACCTGTATGCGATGGTAATTTCTTCGCGTCTCGTGCGTTGGCGTTTGCTGATGCCGCTCTGATGTCGCAGTTTGCATACCCGATTGGGCGCATTTATACCAATGTGAGTCTTGTAGACGCACGTGCATTGGTATGCTACGAACGCCTCTCCAGACCTTGCTTCATACCCTCAATGCACGCGTGGGCCCAGATTCGCGAGACAACACTGTAAGCCCTGTTTGCATCCTTGAAGCGTGGCGTAACCGACAGGGTCTGTTATCAGATACACTTGTCGACCCGAGCTGCACCGATCACCCATGTCACCTCGGTTTTTGTTCGAAAGGAAGTCGCTACCGACGAAGGCTCTGAAGAGAGACTGGAGTAGGGATGTCAGTGTCAAGTACCACACTCAATGATCATACATCGTTGATGGACCATGCCACCGAATGACATTTGCGCACCGACCGATGCAGCGGCTCGGCCTCTGTCCACACGCATGTCGGCGCGTTGCCGGCTAGGGCGTATTGCATTGTGACGGCGTACCGACCGACTTTCTAAGCCTCGACGTCCCTGGGACTACTCACCGGGCTGCAAGCCATTACGGATGTTGACCGTCACTGCGAACGATGATGACCGTTCACGAAACATATCATCCCCATGTGACAGATCCCCGACGAACTTGATCGTGTCTGTCACCAACACGCTGACGAACCCACTAGGACGAAAGAGACAATGCCGGGTCTGGTCAGGGCAATGAACTTGGTAATGGAAAGTCCGCCGAATATCGGAGAACAACAGATGTTTGAGTAGCTGCAGACATGATTCATCTTTCGAAATTTGGATAGGTCGGCTCTAGTCCAAATCGAGCATAGATAGACACGGCAGAGACATCGAGACCTGATCATTGCCCGCCCGAAACAATCAACTTCGAGGGACACGCACGAGCGTGATCAAAAAGATGTGTGACGTGACGCTGATTTTGATTACATCTCTTCCCGTTGTTCCCCCTCGTCGCTGTGGCCTCTCGACACTCACGGCATCGACCCCCCCTGCTGTCTGCTGCCCTGCAGTAGCCCTCACGCTCGTTCATCGCTCTTCGCTCTATTAGGATATCCATATTGTTATGCTCCTCCTACCCCTCTTGTCCCTTTTCCTCTCTGCTGTCCACGTTCATGCCGTTCACGACCCTCGTAACCTTTCGCATGGCCGTCGAACACAGGCAGCGCGCTATCGACACCGTACAGGTACACTGCTCATCCCCCGGTTGCAACTGGTCTGACGCTCTACAGATGCTGTAGCGCGGGACGGCTCTCCCTTCGCTCTTCCGAGCGATACTCCGGCAGGCTCTGTGTCCTCACCAGCACAGACGGTTTCGACGGACACTCCATTTGGCGTAGGACAGTCGACTAGTCTCCCCCCTGCGACTTCCACGACTTCTACGACAGTCTCTGGCTCAGCGTCAACGGTAACGAGCAGCGCGACTTCGACGACCACAGACAGCTCGTCTGCCTCTGTGATCAGTTCGGCAAACATTCCGACGTCGAGCCCGACGGCGACGGACACCGCCTCTTCCATCGTCCCCACGTCAGATGGTGTCTCACCCTCGGCGACAGCATCCGCATCTACGACACCTACAGACATCTTGAGCGCACTACCAAGCATCATATCGAGCGTATTGTCTACGATCACGGATACTAGCCTTCCTTCATCGGCTGTCTCCAGTGTACCTGCGAGTGCGACGACAACGGATTCTGCCAGCGGATCTGCGAGTTTGATCTTCAGCTCGACGACTATCTTCAGCGCAAGTCAAGTCGTGTCCAATCCACCGAGCAGTGCTCCAACTAGCGCACCAATTAGCGCACCAACCAGCGCACCGACCAGCGCACCGACCAGTGCACCAACCAGCGCGGCTACCAGCGCGGCTCCCAGTGCGCCTACTAGTGCACCGACAAGCGCTCCGACATCCGATGCTCCGTCGTCCACGATCTTGTCTCTCAGCGTTCCGTTCAGCATCAGCTTGCCTGTGAGCTCTCCGCTCAGTGCGCCTGCTAGTAGTGCGGCCGCCAGCAGCGTTCCTGCTAGCTCTGCGCCTATCACGGATGTGCCGGCTAGCTCTGCGCCAGTAAGCTCTATTGCTCCGGCCAGCTCCGCGCCTGTTAGCTCCGGTTCCCCGCCCGTTTCGTCTGCTTCTGTGACCACATCCGGTGTCACGGACGTGCCAGTTTCGTCCACCATTGTCAGCTCGGCTCCATCCAGCTCAGTCCCAGTCAGCCAGTCTGATGCCCCGGCCAGCTCTGGGGTGGCAAGCTCCAGTGCACCTGCATTCCCCAGCGGATCCGGAAGCGTTGTATCGTCGGCTTTCTTCAGCGTCGCTAGCTCCGTCAGCGGCAGTGATATTGCATCGTCGACTACGGTTGTTACTCCATCTGTTGCGTCAGACCTCACCTTCGTGTTGACCGCCTCGTCGTTGGCGATTGCCAGTATCACAACTTCCTCCTCGAGCCTCTCTCTTTCTAATCCGGATGCCCCGACCACGACCTTCTCGGCCACGAACACAGCTGCAACGGCTTTGACGACTGCTCCATTGCCCACGGACTTGCCTTCGAGAATCTATCCTCCGTCTGGGGCTATCGGTAACCCGGGTGCAAACTACTCGTTCATCAGTCTCCTGTTCGACGGTGGTCTCGGTTGGGAATTTGTCTGCCAAAGCGATCTGGCCAGCTCTCAGATCTTTGCTATGATGCCCGTCATCTTGTCGTCTGCCATGAATGTACCTAGTACGTGACTTTTCAAGCATCTTTTCCTTCTAGCTGACTCGTTTTTAGGCGATCAAGTATTCACATTTTCACTCGATGTCTTTGTCCCTGCAGACTACAGTGGGCCATCACACGCCGGGGACTTGCAGACCGTATATCTCGGTTACATCCCTACGGACAGCATTCCGTTGCTGCAGCAGGAGTTGAAGAGCAAAAACTCTCAATTCTACACAGGGTCGTCCGTTCCCCTGGCCTCCCAATTGGCTTCGCACATCATCTCAGCCTTTGCTCTGGACTCGGTGGCCGACCCGAACGCCCCAGCGGCAGGGAACGGCAATAAAGCCGTCGGCTTCACGGGCGCCACGTCTCAGAACAAGACTCGACAAGATGCCATCATCGGTGTGGTTACGACACTAGGTGTCATTGCTGTACTCATTCTGGTGTTTTTGGCGTACCGCGCTTTCCGTCGTCGGGCTGAACTGGCGCATCATCGTCTTTCGGACCCTCCCGATGCCGGTGTCCCCCCTGCCGGCCGTGATTTCGACCAGGACAGCATTGGTGGTCAGCGCCGACGAAGCTTCTACTTTGCTGAAGATTCGTTGCGCGGATTTCCTGGACAGCGACAGGAAGAGACGCACTATGATAGTCGCACAGCCAACATGACCCAAAGAAGAAACGTCATGCCTGCCGCTATCTCAGCGCCGATTCTCCAGCAGAGCAGCATGAACTGGTAAATATGGACTGCCCTCGCTTGCCTTTCAAAATATATACCTTTTCTCACAATTCCCTTTGGATGCATTTTTTTGGAGGTTGTGATTTCTGATTCCTTGTTTTACCTGACTCTTCACATTCTCGGTCTCGCCAAGTTGATTAGGCTGGGCTTGTGTCCCTTGTATAGGCTGCAGACATTTTATACATTGCTGATCTTTCAAATCAATTTGCCGCTAATGTTTAGTTTTTAACTTATCCACTTGCATATATTCCACAACTAGCATGTATCAGGTACAGACTAGAATTATGCGTGCCAGAGCTTCGAGATCAGTTCGGTCAACCCTGAGTAGAGAGAGTGGCATCAGCATGGAAACCAAACTAGCAGTATGCACAAGCAATTCACCGATGTCATTGGTGTTGAACTGGTAGACGCCAACGAGAACACCGACAGTGGCACTGCGCAGAGCCCATTTCGCTGCGACTCCTAGCACAGGGAACTTGCGAGTGTGAAGGTAGTCAACCACGATGGAGTCAAACTGCAGCGACTGGTCAGTGTCTCAATCCATAGAAGACGTCAACCAACGCACTCCAATGTGACTGTGGATTACAAGACTGACACCCAAAATGCCGTCAAGGACAGGGTGGACGCTGGGAGAGGTGGCGAACGCAGCACCGGTGAGGGGGATAAGGCCGGCGGAAAGCAGCCGTTCAAACGACCAGTGATGGGAGCCATGTATCTTCGAAGGGGGCGGGAACGTGGTCGGGTCGTTCACCGTACCCTTGTATATCGCTGTACAAGACATCGGTCAAGGCGGGATCGTTCATCTTAGAGACTGGATGGACTTACGACCACCAGGGACGTAAAGAGCGTCCGAAGCAGATGAAACAGGGCGGACAAGGCGGGTCGACGCGACAAAATTGGACTGAACACGAGGAAAGGTGTTTTTGGAGCTACGGGCCAAGAGGGAGGACGCCATGGTCAGCGACGGAGAAGGAAATCAGGAGGGCCGTAACGCCGACCAGCTCCGAGAGATGTCAACGTAGCCATCAGATTTCCCACAGCCACACGGAACAAAAGTGTCCAGTACTAGTAAAACTCATTGATCAAGTGGCTTTTCAACTCATAGAACACCACGTTTGGTTATGCCAGTGCTTAGCAGATAGCTCTGAGCTCCTTTCATCACCTACAGAACTGTCACGTCGATGTCCTGGCGGTCAGGGCACGGTCTCGAGTCCAGCCTGATGGGCCACTTGTATGCATTGTGTAGGGTGTTATATGTTTGAGTTGGGATGCATTGTAGAAGATAAAAGGCAGAAGCACAACTCCAAGACACCAAACAATGCCTTCAGCCGCCGCCCAAACTAGATTTTAAGGATTGCTACCAATCCGTGTTGTCCAGCCCGCCCACGAAGTCAACCACCCAACGCTACAGAGACCGTTGTTAGAATTACTCCTGGATTTTGGCCAAAATGTCCGAGTCTTTGAAAAGGAAGTATTCCTGTAGCGCGAGTGTGCTGTGAGAAATGACGCGTTTGAAGACCCAGACGTGAGACGCACTTCTTCGCCCACTTTGATTGAATTACCGCCCCAACCCGGGAGTAGAACACGGTCTCCAGCCTTAACAATGGTGGGGACGACGACACCGTCTTTGTTCGGCGCCCCGGGTCCCACAGCAATGACAGTGGCTTCTGGTAGCGGGTTCGCTGTTGCGGACGTCGGCAGGAAGATACCCGAGGCAGTTTTCTAGGCCGCACAGAAACAAGATGGCATAGGTGTCAGCAAAAGAGGTACAGATAAACGGTTCAATGAACGCACAGTTTCTGGCTTGAAACGCTGCACAAGCACGCGGTCAAGGAGAGGGACGAGGGCTTTGATAGACTTGAAAGTTGCTTGGGCGGCCTGTTGTAAGCAGCGGTCAAAATTTACATGCGAAAGATTGAGTCGGAGAAGTGCCGACCATTAGAAAAGAGAGTAGGAGGGAAAAGGTGAGAAGAGGAAGGTGGACAGTCGCTTGCGAATTTTTTGTGATTCCGGTCACGTAAGCATTACATATAATTTCTAGTAATGATTTGCCTCTCCGCACAACCCAGGTGCTCAGCACTCAGTACTCAGTGCTCATGAACAACATTATTTGGACGCGTTCCACGCTTCGTTGAGGGCACCGAAGACTCCGTTGGCGATCATTCGTTGTTCCAAGGTCGTTTTGTTGAGATTAAGCTGAGGGACGATGAAAATGCAATAAGAACTGTAGTTCGATTGTAGATGGTTATTCACCTTGTCTGGATGAAGCTTTGAAATGGCTTTCATATATCGAACCTTGACCTGCCCGGGAGTGACCAAGTCTTTCATCCCGCTAGCTTGCAAGCCGAGTTCTGGCCATAACACGTTATCCAGACTGGCCAGCAATGCACGAATGTTAGTCTCCTTGCCACCTTTCCAAGCAATCAATTTCGCGTCGACAGTATCCTTGAGGTGATGTTTTTCTAGGTCCTCCTCTTCTTGGGCAGCAACACCCTCGCGGAATTTTGTGACTGCTTCGGAAGGAGACGAGCTGACAGCTGTCTTGGTCACGGCAGGCATCGCGGGTTTGGGCTTTGGGGGCGGAGGGGCAAGCATCTTACGACAGCGACCGGCGCCGCGAACCGCTTCGTCCCGATCTCCTTTTTGCGCCCAAGGTGCGCCGGCGACTCGTTCCCAGTCTTTGCCGGCATCTTCCCATTTTTCCCTGCCTTCGAGTGCCTCTGCACGACGTTTCCATGCTTCCAGCACAGCCGAACCGATATCGATGCTTTGTCCCTCAACGGTGACCCGCTCGGCGCCAAAAGAGCGGCCACCTTCGCTGGCTATATTTTCCAATGTAACCACGTCGACCTCTACACCCCGGAAATCACCTTCTTTAAGCCGAGCGGCAGCTCTCCCAACGAGCAACGGCACGAGGAGCAGATGGCCAACAGGCAAGGCCTCTACGGCCAGAGTGTAAGCACTCTGAGCAGCACCATATTGTCCCAAAGCAGCCTTTTCTTGAGCCGAGGCAGCATGGCCCTTGGAACGTTGCATAGCATCAGGGCTAACTGCCACTCCAAGCCTCTCAGGGATCACAGTAATAGGAAGAGGCCCTGGTACTCCACGTGGCCCAGACGTGGATTGCGGCTCTGGATTCCGTCCCGTGGCATGCCGGAATCGAGAGACATACGGTTTCTTGATAGGTGGGGAGTCATCTGCGATGAGCAGGCCCGTCGCTTGAGGGATTGGCGAGCTCGATGATAGAGTCGTTGGTTTGCTCGGTCCCTCGCCCCATGCGTCATCGTCGTCCCTGAACGTCTGCTTTCTCTGACTGCGTTCCGCCGGGGATTCTGAGTCGTCGACGTCCGAGTGCATCCACTTGGGGCGCCCAGACGGTTCATTCTGCCGATCGCTTTCTGTCGACAGATGCTCCTCGTAGGCTTTCTGAACACGTTCCTTTCCTTGCTGAAACGCCCGTTCTGCATTTTTGAAAAGACTAAATCCGAGTTCGGTAGTACGAGCAAGGAAATCGTTGGCTGCAGGCGGTTGGGGCGAGTTACGTTCCGATGGTCGCTCTGAAGTACGCCGTCTAACAGGCGGCGGCGCAACGTGTTGCTGGATGGGATGATCACGCCGCGAGCTGCCCTCTGCTCCACCAGTTGTGGCTAGCAAGTCGTCGATGGCAGCCTCTACATTCCAACTGCCATCTTCGTACACTCGTGCCAAAGCTGCTCGTGATTGCGAGATAGTGAAGCCCATCTCAATCAGCCGGCCGAGAACGTGAGGCGGCGGTGAGTTTGCGCGCATTGTGCGTCCTTGAGGTCTGCCAGGAGCGGCTGGGGATGGCGTATCCCTAGAGGGCATTGCCTAATAGCTATTCAGTCCAAAGATGTGCTGATCGACAATAGGGCTGACCCACCCGTTCAGACGTCACATGAGAAACAGGTTTTCCTAGATCACCCAGAAGATCCCCATCGTCCCTTCTGCCTTCATCTTGGCCAGAGCCGAGATCGTCTTCTGAAAATGACGCATCCCGAGTGGTCGAAGATTCAAAATCCTCTAATTTGTCCCAAAGTGCACCCTGAGAGCTGCTTGCGGGGGAGGGCGTGTCGCCCAGAGAGGATTGGAATCGGGTGCCCGCACTCCGCCCGTTGTCCTCACTCGCGTTCTTAGCAGGGTGCGTCGTAATCTTGACTGTTGCAGAACCGAGACCAAGACCCCAGTCATCGTCGTCGTCATTGACGATGAGGACTGAAGATGGAACTGTCTGCTTCGGTGGAGACGTCGCGGCGGGTATCAGCGGCGAGTTGAACCCCCAATCATCATCCAGTAAGCTCGTAGATATCCGTGGCGCTGGGGATGCTGACGACGAGGACGTAGAGACGAGACTATCCAGCCCAGCCCAAGCAGAGGATGAGGATGAGGCTGGTGCTTGCGAAATCACAGTCCGCTGTTTGGCGAGCTCAGCTTGCTTGGCACGTTCAGCCATCGTCAGATTCGATGACTCGGTGCTGTTTGCACTCAACGAGCCGCCGAGCAGCCCACTAAACGCATCCCCCCCAATCGAAGAGCCCGCTGTCGATCGAGGTTGTGATGTAGACTGTTGAATGTTACCAGGAGTGATGGGACGAGACGATGACGGGCTGGATGTTGAAGAAAACATCGAGAAGAGATCATTTTGAGGTCTTCGATTAGCCGTTGGCCGAGGCGATGGCGATCCTAGTTTCCGGGGGGCCGGCGTGGTCGGAGCAGCGGAATTCCATAGATCTGAAAAGGAATCTGACATGGCAAGGTATCTGCGAACTTGTGAATAGGCGCTTATGTCATTCATACAGCGTGAATGACAGTCACGTGGCAACCCTGGCGCGTTGCGTCATCATCACTTCATCTTAGCTTTGTCACTGTGAGCGGTTTGAGGCAGCTGAAAAGGTACCAGTCTAGATGCACGCGCTCGCTGTGCTATTCTACGTCTCACCATGCTACGACGATTGTCACGTTCCCCTTCAATACTTCGTCATGCCCGATATTACTCCCCCCCGCCAAGGTTTCCCTGCGTCGAGGCACATGCCACACGAGAATCTCGCCTAGCGTCCGCTGCGCAGTCCTCTTCGGGGCCTGAACCTCCGTACGCCCGCCCCAATCCCCAATCATATCACACCTTCCACTCCAAATTGCCCCTTGGGCTAACGTATCACTCGACCCCCCTTCCCACCTTCGACATTGCATATGAGACCTGGGGCACGCTCTCGGCCACTGGCGACAATGCAGTTCTCGTGCACACTGGGCTTTCAGCATCATCCCATGCTGCCTCTACGCCATTGAATCCCTCAGAAGGATGGTGGGAGAAGTTCATTGGGCCTGGAAAACCATTGGACACGAACAAATTCTTCGTGATATGCACAAACGTGCTGGGCGGGTGCTACGGCTCTACGGGACCATCATCAATCAATCCAGATACCGACGCTCCGTACGCCACACACTTTCCGCTTCTTTCGGTATTCGACATGGTCCGCGGGCAGTTCCGATTGCTCGACCATCTCGGTATCGATAAGTTACATGCCAGTGTGGGCTCCAGTATGGGTGCGATGCAGAGTCTTGCGGCAGGGTGGTTGCACCCGGAACGCGTGGGGAAGATCGTAAGCATCAGCGGCACTGCCAGGAGCACACCTTCGAGCATCGCGATGCGCTTCGCTCAACGAAGTGGTACGTATAGATTCTGATGTTGCAGTGTTGGCACTCACTGACGAGGCATGCAGTCCTCATGGCTGATCCTAATTGGAACAACGGGTTCTACTATGATGCTCTTCCTCCACACACAGGAATGAAACTTGCCCGGCGTAAGTTCTACTCTCCACGACGTTACGCATGTTGCTGTCTCTAAACGATATTCTCGAAGAAATCGCTACAATTACTTATCGATCTGGTCCGGAATGGGACGCCCGATTCGGCAGACAAGTGCGGGACTTGCCAGAACCCACCTCACCTCGAATGCCGGCACTGTGCCCAGATTTTCTTATCGAGACGTATCTGGACCATCAGGGCGAACAATTCTGTCTAAAATACGACGCTAACTCTCTCATCTACATCTCTAAGGCGATGGATCTATTCGACATGACGGCTCCGGCCTTGGCTGAACTTCAGATCCAAGAGGCTCGTGGAAGAGTGGCGCTTGATTTACCCCCGTCATCTCTGCGACCGCGCACTACATCTCACTCTAAATCACATCCTCCACCAACAAATCCGCCATTGCATCTTCCCGATTTGGCCGCCGGACTGGCACCCCTGGCCAACACTCCCACATTAGTGCTCGGTGTTCAAAGTGATATCTTGTTCACAGTGGAACAACAACGAGAAGTCGTCGACGCACTCCGTTTAGCAGGTAATACACATGTTGTGTACTATGAACTAGGCGGCGTATGGGGTCACGATACATTTCTGTCAGTCTGTTAATCGCGACGGTCTTTCTTTTACTGACAAGAATTGCAGTCTAGATGTGTTGAATGTGGGTAATGCGATCCGGGGATTCTTGTAAGAGCCTGGTCGGGTGCTTCATCTGCATTCTTTATTCAAGTTTGCAACATTCCGAATAGCTCTTATCTCGGGGTTCGGAGTGCTTCGCAGCAGTTCAAATCGGTTCAAACCTGTATTTTTCATTGTCAAGAATCTATATTGTGCAATATACTACTCTTCAAACCTCAGTCAAGTCATTCATGGGTGCTGGTATATGTCCACAGGAATCCTCCAAAGCTGGAATACAACTATCACAACTTCACTTTTCAGGATTTGTGGGGCCTCCAGCACCTCTGGCTCCAACCAATTGTGTTCATTGATGAGAATACAGCACTGGAGAATGATTGTTTTGATGCAGTAGCTGCACCCTGAATTGCCCACCTCAGTTGCCATTGCCATCACATAACAGACCCTGCAGGGTCTGGTCCCTTTGGAAATTATTAACACTGGTAGATCTGGACAAGAGAGAGAGACAATAGTATTCACAGCCTATGTGTGTAAATAGAGAAGTACACACTCCGGCAGATTACGATTAATGTGGCCCACAATGAAAAATCTATATTTTAGATATTGCAGTACAAATGGTTGAATACAAAGTAAATTGTGATATTAAAACTAATGTAATGTGTCAAAGGTACCCCAATTGATCAACTATTGCAGCAAAAAATGTTTCAAAGATAAAGGAAATATTGGGACTGAATTCCTGACACTCATTTGGTGGCACAAATATCAGCGTATTGGGTGCCATAATGATGCCCACAAAGGTGGCAAAATGTTTTAGTGTGTTACTCAGCTCAATCTCTTTGAAAGAAAGTTCACAATCCACACCAACAATATTGACCCTATTGCGGCATAAAAAAAAGTGCAGCCCAATATCACACATATCAGGCCCCAAAATATCTATTGGCTGATGATTGACATATGATCAAGAGATGATCTGTCAATCATCAGCCAAGCATCCATCTATATATCACACATCTTGTATGACAGGCTCATCTCAGTGGGATAAGACATTATACATGATCAATTCTTTGTGATGGAGTGTAGATATAGAATATATGGTTTGTTGAAGCAGGAAATGCAGAGAGGACTGGAGTCAACAGTAAGAAGCTCTGCATTGCAAGACAAGACAAGAAAAGAATCTACAGACCTGGAGTGAACAGTAAGAAGCTCAAGAACTCCAGGGAGGCAAGAACTAAGGTATGCGGCATTTGGTTCCAGCATGGATGACTAAGCATCACACAATCACAATGTGTGACCAAACGGCAACAGAGAATCACAATGGCCACAAGAAAAAAATAAGGAATCTACTCATATAGAGTGTTCTAGGAGAGCCTTAGAATACTTTCTCTGCAAGCAGAATTTCAATATCTATCCTGCAGGCAGCATGATCTTGGGCTGACATATTTCCCATCAAAAAGTTCCTCTTGTTGTATAACATGTTTTTGCACTGAATGCAGCATTTTCCATTTTTTGGGTCCAAAATTTGACCCCATCATGTGACATCCCAATAAGGAAGTGACAGTGCTTCAGGCTACAACTACCTACTGTGGGCTGGGCATGGCTTTTGACTGTTGCATATGGTGTTTTAGAGCACATATGTACCACTAGACACCCATCCAGAAGCTCACAAGGTCCAAAAGGTGAAGTTGGTTTCTGCGACCTCCAAGATTTGACTCTGTGACCGTGACAGTCACTGCTTAGTCACCCATTGATAGGCTGGCTACCAGACACACTCTGCACCAGCTCTATAAGGGCGTATTTTTGCGCTTTTACAGAGTTTACTCTCAAACCATTTGGTGTATTGTGTCGCGGTTGCCAGTGTTGTGCTTAGTAGGACTTGAGGGTCTACTGCCCAGTTGACAACTGTGGATAGTGTCAACAATAGCAAGGCAGTCAGACCACTACTGTGGAATTGGTCTTATAAGTCTACACCAGGCTCAGGGCTATTAGTGACGGACACTCGGACCGCGACAATTCCCCAAAAGGGATGCTTTGTTGTGGCAACTCCTTGAAAGGGTCATCCTCTGCAGATGGGAACTCAGGCTGGAGAGCTTAGCAATGCGCGACGTGCTCAACATAACAACTACTACAAGACAGGACTTGGTGTTACAAGATTGAACCAATCTTGTCGCGGCAACTCCCGGCTTTGGGTTGGACATTTCCTTAGATCATGCCATGGTGACGACTTGTCACATGTCATGTTCCACTCAATCACAGGATATTGTGGATGCATCACGGTGACACTTCAAAGTGTCATGGTGAGTCACGCCCATACCCAAACACACTAAAAGCAACACAGGCTAGATCTATGAACCAAACTATGCAAGGAACGTCTGGCGTGCCTAGGACCATACGGCTTCTTGGGGCACCCACATTGGACTCACTTGCCAAGATATACCAGTTGGCCAATCCAGCATGTCGTATTCCAAAAGTATGACACGGTGGGTTGACCTACATCAAAAGTACCATATAGACAATAGGGCAGGGTCCTGATCAGTCAGGACCTGTCCAATTGTTCAACTTTTTCATTACCATAAAAGGCAACCAATCTTAGATAGCATAGTGACTATGCAGTTGTACAGGTCTTTGTTAAAGTGTGGAAAGGATGTCCTGCTTGGTTCAGACAAAAGAGTGTTACTTAGCTATGTGACCATCAGTACATAGCCCGAGATCAATGTGACAGACTGGGCTTTTCGCCTCCCATCTGTGCCCCTAGCCTCCTGCGGCTCCCATCTGTGTTTTCTGAGTTCAACAGTCTTTACTAAGCATTGTCATAGACAGTATAAGTAGCATGTTGTTTCTTTGTATTGGGGAGCTTTACCCTGGACTGTGAATCATACCCATATCAGATTGTTTTTGTGCAATTTGCGTGTTGCGTGATTCCACCTTAAGAAGTTCTATTACCCCTGCCCAGTTGCAACAAGTTGCTCCCCAAGTGCTTGTAGCTACTGTGATTTGAGTCTTAGTTGAGATATCAGAAAGTCGGATTCACTGCTTCTGGTTTTGTCACGGCACTTAGTGTCGTTGCCTTTGGGCTTTGTTGAGATTGTTTCCACACCTCTAGTTTGGCAGTGCATCGACTAGTTGTGCTTGGGTTGTTTTGGTCAGTTGGCAGTGTGTTGACTTGAGAACTTTGGTTCCACACTTCTTGCTTGGCAGTGCGTCAACAAGTTGTGCTCGGGTTTTGGACATTGGATATTGGCTGTTAGTTGGCAGTGCATTGATGCGGCATTTTGGTTCTACTAGTTGGCAGTGCACTGACTCAGTGTTTTTGGTTGTATCAGTTGGCAGTGCGTCAGCTTGACATTTTGGTTTTACTAGTTGGCAGTGCGTTGACTCAGTATTTTGGTTGTATTGGTTGGCAGTGCATTGACTTGATATTTTGGGCTTTGTGTCACCATCTGGATGCTGTTGCTACAAGGGATCTTAATACTTCGTATTAAGTTCTGACTTGTGATATTGTTGGTTGTGGTTGGATTAGTGTTGGTTTTGGCTGTATAGAAGATATTGGTTGAGACACCATTGTTTACTATATATAAATCCTTGTCATTGACTTTGTCTTCTGCGACTATTGGATCCCGCATCTATTGAGAGTTGTGATACTGGTGCTCTGTCCACCCCGAAGCCCTTGCATCTTTCACACACTGAGAAGCTGATTACAAGGAGTGTGAATGTGTTTATATTTGGGTTTACTTTCATAGCAGATTCACCTGTGAGCGTGCCCTCAGCATTTTATCTGGAGCCCACTGTGAGGGGCTTCTAAAGTTTCATAAACTTTAAAAATCAATAAACCGGATTCTTGACCGCGACATTGGATAGAGACCAAGGGTTTATCCCGCAAAGCAGTTTATTTTGATCCCAAGCTCCTGCGCAACCTCTAGAGGACCAAGCAGAGATTGAGACTGAAGGAGACACTTCAACCTCAGGACCTTTCGAAAAGCCACGAAGGTCTGCAAGACATAAAACACCTTTGTATCTACCACCCTTGCCTTCCAAGGCAAAAGGAAAACAAAGAGTGAATTTGACGTCGAAGCTTCCAGCTTTAGACGTGGCTACTTTGAGCTCGACGACAATTAGTCAATCTCAGACTAGCTCACAAACTCTCTCAGAATTGTTTAGTAGCGTCACTGCTACAAACGCAAATTCTAACAACATCCCTACTTTCTGTTGAAGTGTGGAAAGGATGTCTTGCTTGGTTCAGACAAAAGAGTGTTACTTAGCTATGTGACCATCAGTACATAGCCCTAGATCAATGTGACAGACTGGGCTTTTTGCCTCCCATCTGTGCCCCTAGCCTCCTGCGGCTCCCATCTGTGTTTTCTGTGTTCAACACTTTCCCTGTGATTTCAGTCACGACAACTATGGCTCCAAAGACTGGGTTCAAGATCCCTCAACCTTGGGACACAAGTAGACCTATACTTGATGAAAAGGATCCTTTGTTGATAGAGGTGTACTTGCATCACTGCGTGCAGATTGTAGAGGATGGTGGCCTTACAAATGTCAAACAAGCAAAAAGCATGTACATTTGTTATTTGCCGTTGCGGCAAGTAATGGATGTATGGGAAGGTCTCAATACCTATTCCAACGACACAAAAACTGTCGTGGAGTTCGAGGCCAAAATCCTAAAAGGATACCCTGAGGTGTCCAAGCAAAAAACGGGGACCATGGCAGATCTAGACAGACTCTGTCGCAAGAACCGTGGAATCAAGATCATGGATGAGAGAGATTTGAAGTGCTTTGGCCTTCAGATGTATAGTCACTATGTTGATAAAATGGCTGAACCAGGAATTGAACCTAGGACCTCTGACTTGGATCGTCCAGTGCTCTAACCACTGAGCTATTCTGCCTTGGTGCTGGGATTCCCAACTCCAACACTCCCCTGGTATCACAGCACCATTAGCACTGTGCCTGTCAAGGACGGGGTGGCACCATTTATCATGAGGCACTCATCAGACTGCAGTGGTCCACGCCAGTGTGTTCCAGGCCGACTTATGTCTGTGAGTTGCTGCTACCATGTTGATAAAATGGCTGAACCAGGAATTGAACCTAGGACCTCTGACTTGGATCGTCCAGTGCTCTAACCACTGAGCTATTCTGCCTTGGTGCTGGGATTCCCAACTCCAACACACTACAAGCAACTGTCAGTCTCTCCTGCCATTATCACCAACAAGGTTGCGTGTGAACACTACATGCGTACCTTGGACTCTGAGTTCAGTACTGTCTTGCATAATGCTTTGGCTACGAGTCAAGTATTCAACAAGCGCTACCAAACTCACACCGGGATAGCAAATGCTAATGTCCCCACAACAGGAGTCAACTGGCAGGACGACCCCATCCAGTTGAAAGAATTAATGACGATGGCAGAAGAAATGGCATTGATGTTGAGCAACAAAGATGAAATTCCCATAATTGCATGACCCCCAAAGGTTTGCTTCAACTATGAGACTAGTCCGCCCAACCTTGCTAAGCTTGAGAAGTTGGAAAACTCGATTTCCAACTTGAAGAATTCATTTCTCCTACACCAAAAAGAGTTACAGACTCAGTTGCAGGAAGCGCTGAAGACATTCGTGCAGACTGCTTGCAAAGTGCCTATCCAGTAGTCGCAGCCAGTAGGTAACAACTCTTCTGTGCCCCACTTTGAAAGTCGCGCACAAGGAGGAGCTGCCATGCGGAACAATGACCGTCGCTACTGTAGACAGACTGGTTACTGGTTGAATGAGTGCCCCCTCAAGAGGTCTCATATTGAGAAAAACCTTCTCAAAGTCGACACCAAAGGGATGTGGAGGCTCTTCAACAACAGTTTCCTACCAAATGGAGAAGGGACTCAGGGACAACAAGTAGAGGCTTATTGGAAGAAGAAGGGCAAGTCTGTCAACTTCCAAGATTCCTACTACTTGGATCAGTTTGATAGCTGTGACAATGATGATATATCCGACTACCCTGAAGAAGTGGCAGATGAGATATGCTCCCTTTGTAGTCAACTCATCCAATATGAGAGGAAATTGTCACGACCAACCCCAGATAGTTGCGCTGAGCCAAGGACTCAAAAACCTGCATCTGGTTCGACCAGTTTTGCAATGGAAAGTGCCATAGGCCAGTTCATGCAGAAAGCCATGACCAACGCCATGGCCAGCTACTTCAACAACATGAACAGTGGTTATCCTTGGACTCAGGAGCAATTTATTCAAACCCGTTGGGGTGCGAATAGTCAACCTGAGCGCGACAATAACAATTTGGGTTTCTAAATGGTTCAAGGAAGGGGGCTAAGCTCACAAACTCAGCCAAGCCCTCTGAGGACCATGATAAACAAGCTGAGCAACAAGAGAAACCAAGAAAGCCTGTAATTATTAAGGAAGTTAGCAATAGCGACAATGATAAGGAATCAGTGCGCGACAACACCAAAAAGAGAAAGGAACTACCGTTTGAGAAAGTCAAGCCCATTCTACAAGAACCAGTATATTCTGCAAAAGCACGTGTTCCAGATAAATACCAGTTGCGTGTACCAATTCAAAAGAAGGCTGTGGCAGAAGCAGTTTACGACAAAATGAAAAACATGTCAGTTGATGTCACTGTGGGTGAACTCCTAGCAGTTTTAGGGACTGTCCGCGACTCCATTCTGAAGGACTCTTCCAAGAAATGTGTACCAGTTCAGACGTCTATGCTTCAAGAAACTGGTTGCGTCATTGAAGACGTTTGGGAGGGAGAACTGAGCTACAACCTAGTCAGTACTAAGGAATTGCCTGAGCCTGTGTTCTATCATAACACAGTCAAAGGAGAAATTCCCATTGGCGCAGTTGTTGTGACGGACCCATATGAGATGTACTTGGAGTCAATACCCTCTAATGAGAACCCAAGGCATGTCTATGTTGGTAATTCATTGGCTGCTCCCAGAACAATAAACAGACAGATTAATGCATGTCTTGACATGGACTGCATCCTCGACAGTGGATCTCAGATTGTCTCAATGGCCTTCTTGGAAGCCGTCAACGCACAATTAAGCTGGGACCCAAAAGTTGTCATCTATATGGAAAGCACAAATGGATCTATCTCTAAGGCATTGGGATTAGCGAGAAATGTACCCTTCAGATTTGGGACCATTCTGGTCTACCTACTCGTGATCATGGAAAGTGATGGTCAATCATGATGTGATCCAGCTGTCCGAAGAAAAAATTTCTTCTCTGTACAATGATACGATACATCTATTGCCTCAATACTTGGTGTGCCTACCCTGTGCCTTCAAGACAGCTTCTACCCGGTCTGGCATTGAGCAAGTATGCTTGGTTATGTCCTCAAGGGACAGCTTTTCCCATTCCTCCATGATCACCTCTTGGAGTGTTTTTATTGTTGTAGGTGTTGGAGTTGGGAATCCCAGTACCAAGGCAGAATAGCTCAGTGGTTAGAGCACTGAATGATCCAAGTCAGAGGTCCCAGGTGTTGATGTGTGGATTTTGTGTGTGCTTGGTTCGGACAAAGAGTGTGACAATACTCTGTGACGCATAGTATATAGCATCAGATCAATGTGACCTACTGGGCTTTTCGCCTCCCATCTGTGCCCCTAGCCTCCTGCGGCTCCCATCTGTGTTTTCTGTGTTCAACAGGTTATGGGCCCCGCTCTGACCCATCTTTAACCCCTCTTCTTCTCCCCCTGCCCCTCATTGGCCTTCCCCTTGCTGCGCATTTTTCCAATCCTGCCTGATCTCCCTTCTGCCACCATCTACCACCATCTGCCACCTCCAGGACCACCATTTCGACCTCATCCACCACTGCTACACTGTACAACCATGTTGGAGAAAGGGATTGGGATGGATCAGCCAGATCTTGGGTGGAGATGTTGGGGAGGGTGTCAGATTCATTCAGATGAGTTTATAGCTACCACACAGCTGCTGCATACACACATTCCCCTGGAGTGCCCCTGCTTCACCACTCTCTCTGAGCCACTCTCCCTGCCCCCCACTCCTCCCCTCTCTCCTGATTTCGATGGATTTCGCTCTGTGCTGCTGCCCCTTGCACACACCAGTCCCCACCACCCTACCCTGTCTTGTAAAGGCCGAAAATCGTGTTGGATCTGCTTGGATCTGCCTGGATCTTGGTGGATTGGCCAGATCTTGTTGGATCTCTCTAGATCTCTGCTGGATCTCTGCAGATCAACTTGGATGCTGAAGAAGACTCGAATTGGGTGCAGGGGCTGTCCGGATTTTTGAGGATCTGGTGGATTTCAATTGGGTGGGAGTGGCTGGGTTTCTGGATTGCTTTGTCCTCCCAAGGGTGGGAGTGTTGATGTGTGGATTTTGTGTGTGCTTGGTTCGGACAAAGAGTGTGACAATACTCTGTGACGCATAGTATATAGCATCAGATCAATGTGACCTACTGGGCTTTTCGCCTCCCATCTGTGCCCCTAGCCTCCTGCGGCTCCCATCTGTGTTTTCTGTGTTCAACACCAGGTTCAATTCCTGGTTCAGCCATTTTATCAACAGTAGGGTAGGGCTAGTGCCTCTGAATCCAGATCTTGAGCTCCTTCCAGACAGCCTCAATAGGGCTGATGTCGAGAGAGTTGGCAGGATGTGGAAAGAGGGGGATTTTGTGGGAGAAAAACCACTGGTGTGTTACCCTGGCTTTGTGTGAGGCCGCACCATCTTGCTGAAAGCAAATTTCTCCCCATTTCTCTCTCAAATCCTTGACGGCATTGACTAACACACCATCCAGAACCTGCTCTCTGTACCTGGTTGCCGTCATTTCACCGCCCTTGCCACCAGGGTACTCCAAAACTACCAATGGCCTTTTCCAGCCATGTGCAATGCACCCCCAGACCATCACTCACACAGAAGACTGTTTGAATGTTGGCAGAAGACATTCATCAAGGTATTCTTTGTCTGCTGTTTGTGTAACATAGACCCGGCCAGCTCTGTCACCTAATTGGATGTAGCATTTGTTGGACCAGATCACGGTCTCCCAGTCTTCCTCCTTGTGTTTGTGCCCCCATGCAACCCGTGCCTTCTTCTGACCCTTTGTCAGGAATGGGACCTTCTGAGCGACACATCGATGCATCCCATAACCATCCAGCACCTTCGCAACTGAGGTAGCACCAATACAAGGCTCCACCTCATTGCCAATTTGTGACAATCAACCCAGAGTCAAATTATGACACAATTTCCACAAAGGGTTTACAGCAACTCTCCCATGCTTTTCGATAGACTTGCTGTTCCATGCGGGGAGTTATCTTTGGGGGCTGGCCACTGCGGGAACAATTTTCAACAGAGCCTGTATCTTTATATTTTTTCCAGAGCTTTTGTGCAGTGTTATATGGAATGCCAGCAAGTTTAGCACTTGTTCGCAGATCGTTACTGGCCAGCATTGCACCAATAAATTGATTTTTCTTCTCGAAGTGTTCGAGGACCTAAGAAAACTGTGTTCTAGTGGTCAGTTTACCCAAACTGAGCTGGTAGAAGTGTATATCTTGTTGTCAAAAGAAGACAAGGAAATGGAAAAAGATGTTGCTGCGTTGACTTTGTTTCATTCATATATGAATAAAAGACTTTCCGACATGGTCACAGAAAAATTCACTGTTGGTACTTGGAGTGTGCTAGAAGATGACTCTTCTAGTCACAACAAATACTCTGTGTTCGCAGGAAAGAAATACAAACCTGTGGACCAGAAAGTCAGACCAGTGTACACTATGGGCTCTGAGGACGATTGTGACAATCAACCCAAAAACAAAGTCAAAAAGAGAAGTGAATTTGAAGACTGGAGAATACAATCAAGTAGCTACAGTATTTATACCCAAATCCAGTCTGAGTCATATCTACAACTGATGAGTCATAGGGCTATGTACCGCATGGAGCACTGGTCATGGGTTGTAGTAGAACCTTCTGGAGCATATGTCGCACAGCCTTGAATCAATAAAGATAATCCCTATAACCCCTAGCCCAGCCTGTCTGATGCTGTGATCCATGATAGGATAAGGCTGTCGAAGATAAGGTGAAAAAGTGGTCGAACTATGACAACAATCAAATAATGCGAGAAATGGTTAAAGATCCTTTGGATACGCTACCTACTCTAGACCCGTGACCACCTAATTTTACCCCAACTGGTAGATTCACAGTGGAACGCAGGGATATCATCGACAAGTTACACAAAGGAGACTTCCTATTACCAGAATAAAGGAAGCTGTGTTGAAGTGTGGAAAGGATGTCCTGCTTGGTTCAGACAAAAGAGTGTTACTTAGCTATGTGACCATCAGTACATAGTGTTGAGGATGGGTTTTGGACTTGATCACTCTCTGGTGATTGGGTCACATGATCATCTGATTCCATCTGATCTTATCACTCATCCTATCACTGATGATATCTGATTCCATCACTGTTCCCATCATTCCATCATTCTGGTCACATGACTCCAAGTCACATGATTCCTGTACAGTCACATGCTCCATCCACATAGATAGTTCCTCCCTCCCTGGAGTTCTTCAGCTTCTTACTGTTGACTCCAGGTCTGTAGATTCTTTTCTTGTTTTCTCTTGCAATGCAGAGCTTCTTACTGTTGACTCCAGTCCTCTCTGCATTTCCTGCTTCAACACATAGCCCGAGATCAATGTGACAGACTGGGCTTTTCGCCTCCCATCTGTGCCCCTAGCCTCCTGCGGCTCCCATCTGTGTTTTCTGTGTTCAACACAGCCCCTCCTGGATGATTTCGAGTCTGCCACTGCTGCCTGGGCTGCCCTCAAGGCCCACTTCGAAAAATCGAGCATGAGCACCAGGATGGCTGCTAGGGCAGAGCTGCACTCCATTTCCCATGACCCCAACAAGGACATAGACGTCTACATTCGAGCTGTAGAAGATGCAGTGAAGAAACTGGCTGCCATGGGTGTTTCCATCGATTCCACTATCCACAAAGATGTCCTGCTCATGAATCTTCACCCACCCTTCCACACAGTCCGCACCATCCTTCTTGCACGCTCTCCTGAGCTCAAACTTGAAGACCGCATCACCCAGCTTGCCAGCTCAAGCTCAGACCCTGGAGTGGTTCTCAAAATCGAAGATGGCGATATTTCGAGCCTGGCACTGGCTGCATCGGCACCACGTCGAGGCACAGCATCTGCCACGTCATCATACACCTCCCCCATCACTGGCAGCATTGCACAGGACGGATTTCCGCTGGATTCCCAAGGTTTTCGTTGGTGTGACCCTACCACCAGGGGCTGCCATCGCTGTGGACGCACTGGCCACATTGCCCACAGGTGCATGCACACCATGCCCACCTTTGTGAAGGACTGCATCCTGGCTAATGGCAAGAGCAGCTCCGCTTCTGCAGCTTTCTCTGCTGCACTGGAGGCAGGTCTGACCAGGGAGAGCTTCTTTGAGATGTGGGATGAGTTCCAGATGTCCAATGAAGCGGAGATTGGTGGTGGGCCTAGTGGACCATTCCTGTCTGCAAGACAGACTTAGATTGGGTGGGAGTGGCCTTGGATTTGGTAGGAGTGTTTGTTGAACACAGAAAACACAGATGGGAGCCGCAGGAGGCTAGGGGCACAGATGGGAGGCGAAAAGCCCAGTAGGTCACATTGATCTGATGCTATATACTATGCGTCACAGAGTACAGTCACATCCTTTGTCCGAACCAAGCAGTACCAAATCCACACATCAACAGTGTTCTGTTTGATTGCTTTTGTCTTCCCAAGGGTGGGAGTGTTGGAGTGTAGAAAGGATGTCCTGCTTGGTTCAGACAAAAGAGTGTTACTTAGCTATGTGACCATCAGTACATAGCCCTAGATCAATGTGACAGACTGGGCTTTTCGCCTCCCATCTGTGCCCCTAGCCTCCTGCGGCTCCTATCTGTGTTTTCTGAGTTCAACAAGCTGCTCATGCACTTCTATATGCTTCACAATCAGAGTTTCGCGTTCAGTGATGAAGAACGTAGCGCATTGAGACAGGATATATTTCCTCCTGTCAAAATTGCTACAGTTCCCCATACAGTGTATTGCAAAGGGAATATTCCTATTCCCTGTGGCATGCTTGACTAAGTGTGCAAGGTCATTAAAGACAAGATCACGGCTCAGGTCGAAGAGCCTTCCAATTTCTCTTACCGAAGTAAATTCTTTGCGGTACTTAAGAAGGATGGGAAGAGCATCAGACTGGTGTACTCACTAGAACTGCTCAATACAATTACTATCGCGCATTTGGGATTGCCACCCGCGACAGAGGAATTAGCAAACCACTTTGCCGGTTGCGCCTGTGGTGCTGTGCTAGACTTGTACACAGGCTACAACCAGTGTGACATCAATCCAGCTAGTCGCGACCTGACGACATTCCAGTTGCCCTTTGGTGCACTGAGGCTGGTCAAACTCCCGCAAGGATGGACCAATTCAGTACTCATATTTCACAAGGACGTAACTTTCATTCTGAAAGACAATGCGGTCATGCCTAGTGCCTGTTGGTGATGGGTTTTGGACTTGATCACTCTCTGGTGATTGGGTCACATGATCATCTGATTTCATCTGATCACATCACTGATCACATCACTGATGATATGTGATTCCATCATTGTTTCCATCATTCCATAATTCTGGTCACATGACTTCTGATCACATGATTCCTGTATAGTCACATGCTCCATTCACATAGATAGCTCCTCCCTCCCTGGATTTCTTCAGCTTCTTACTGTTGACTCCAGGTCTGTAGATTCTTTTCTTGTCTTGTCTTGCAATGCAGAGCTTCTTACTGTTGACTCCAGTCCTCTCTGCATTTCCTGCTTCAACAGGTTATGGGCCCCTGCCTCTAGAGTGCCTCTGAGTCATCTATTCTGAGATTTTCGAGTTTTTTCCATTCTCTGATTTTCTCTGCCTGCTGCTGCCTGCTTGCCCCAGTCCTGCTACTGTAGTTGACATCTCTGCTGCCTGTTCTGTTCTCTTTTTCCTCTGCTCTTATAGTGTCTGTGGTTCAGGCACTAGTGGTTGGGACTCTATCCTTAAGTGGGTGTGCTCTTTGGTCCATCAGGAAACACCAGGTAGTCATTCCTGTGATCCTGAGGTTGAGACAGCTAGGTGCCTGAGATCAACACACTCCTGAGAGCCTGTAGCTACATACATACATCCCCTACATCATTCTGGGCGCATTTTTGAGCACAGCATGGCATCAAATTCCCACTCTCATCCATCACTCTTTTCTCCTTCTGCTGCCCTGGCAGCTGCACCTGCTTCTGCTCAGTCATTGTGTTATGCCTGTTATCAACATGGCCACACACTCCTAAAATGCCCAGAGTTTCTGTCTCTCCTAGAGGACAGTGCTTCTGAGCCTGAGCCAGAGCCTGAGCCTGAGCCTAGGCCTAGGCCTAGAAAGGGTGTAGTCAAGTCTGAAGTGGCCACTCATACAAGCCTTCTCTCCCACTCCACTGCAGACCCTGAGTTGAGATGGATTGCAGATTCTGGTGCTACATCACACATGACCCATTGTGTGCACCTGCTGCAGAACACTCGTCCTCACAGGGCACCCATCAGAGTGGCTAATGGACTTGTGGTCTATTCAGAGCTTGTGGGGGAGATAGTGCTTAGGCCACTGATCCATGGACATGCCAGGAGCCGGTCTGTGATCCTCTCCAATGTGCTCTATGTCCCTGCTCTGTCACACAATCTGATCTCCACTACATACCTGTCAGTTCACCATGACTACACTGTGCTTATGAAGGAAAACTACATCCTGTTCAAGCGCAATGGTGAAGTGTACTTTGTGGCAGATATCTCAGAGCAGGGCCAGGCATTTGTGAGAGAGACTGGTTTCCCTTCTGCTGGTTCAGCACTGGTCTCTACAGCTGGGACTCTTCCCATTGACCTCAGCCTGATGCACAGGCGGCTTGGACACCACAGTGATACCAAGCTAGTCATGGATAAAGAGCTGGTTACTGGTGTGAGGCTTGCCTCTGCCAGGAAGCCAGACCCCATCTGTGAGCCATGCCTCTTTGGCAAGCTGAATGCTGGCTTGTTTCCTTCAACTGGTCATCGTTCTGGAGCGCCTCTTGATCTGATTCACTCTGATCTAAAGAGCTACTCTGTGCCTACCCGCGAGGGCTGGAAGCACAGGGTGACTTTTGTTGATGATCACACTGGCTTCAAGGTAGCATACCACATGAAGAACAAGAGTGAGACCTTTGCAGCCCTTAAGATGTTTCAAGCGTATGCTGAGACTCACTGGGGGCTCAAGATCAAGGCATTCCAGGACGATAAAGGGGGAGAGTACATGTCTAATGAGTTCAGAGCACATCTGGACAAGTGTGGCATTGTGCACCGCCATTCAGTCAGGGCACGGCCTCAGCAGAATGGGACAGCAGAGCAGTCTAACCGCACCGTTGATGAGCACTCCACTGCCATGTTACACGAAGCCAACCTGCCCCCTGCATTCAGGGCACTGGCGGTGTCTGCATACATCCATGTGTGCAACATGCACCCCACAGCTCGGGATCCCACCAGAACTCCCTATGAGCTGTGGTTCAAGGCAAAGCCTGATGTGTCTCATCTGCGTGTTTGGGGATGCCTTGCCTATGTGCATGTGCAAAGAGACAAGAGAGGTCCTTCTGGGCATCATGTCCAGAAGTGTATCTTTGTAGGCTATTCTGCAGGGTACAAGGGATGGTTGTTCTTCAACCCAGAGACTCGGAAACTCGTGATCGCTGAGAGAGCAGTGTTTGATGAGCGCTACTTCCCAGGCAGCACCCCTCAAGCGATGAGGAGCTGTCCTGCGGCACCCCCCTCCTCCATGCTGGTGGATCCCCCTCGTGCTCCGGCACCGGTGTATGTCCCTGATGACAATGGTGATGATGAGCAGCAACAGCCGCCTGCTCATCCTCTCCCTGCACCACGAGTTCCCTCTCCTGCAGCTAGCAGTGATGATGAAATCGACTTTCTACGTCGAGCTCCACCACCTCCATCTCCACCACCAGCTGGGGATGCCCCGCTTCACCCTCCACCCTCGCCTCCTCCTCCCCAATCTCCAATTGGGGTGGCAGCTCGTCGTGCTGCTGCTGGCATCCATCGTGTCCCTGCACCACCCAGAAGGGCTCCAGCTCCGGCTGCAGCTCCTCCCAGGCGCACCATGGCAGAGATCTTTGAAGAGATCCCTGAAGACCTCAGCGACGATGAGCTGCTTCTGAAGTCATCCTCTGCCCTTATTGTGGCTCGTGAGGGTGACCCCTCAGATCCTAAGCTGGCAGCAGCTCACGCTACTACAGTGCAGTCTGTGTTGTCTGCTGTAGCCTCTGGGAACCCCAGGTCGTTCTTTGAAGCGTCCAAGCGGGAGGATGGTCCACTATGGCGCGCTGCAGCTGCATCTGAGATTGACTCTCTGCTCAGCAACTGCACATGGGATGTGGTCGACTTGCCACAAGGGGTCAAGCCAATTCGCTCTCAATGGGTGTTTGTGATCAAACACAAGTCTGATGGCACTGTGGAACGCTACAAAGCCAGACTTGTGGCAGATGGTCGTGGCCAGCGCTATGGCATTGACTACCACGAGGTGTTTGCTCCCACCTTCCGCCCTGCTACTCTGCACGTCATCCTTGCTCTGGCTGCCCAGAACAACCTCAAACTGCGCTCCATTGACTTCTCTTCTGCCTACCTCAATGGGGACCTGGATGAGGATGTCTACATGACTCAGCCAGAAGGGTTCCCCCAGGGAGAGAAGGGCCAGGTCCTGAAGCTGAACCGGTCCATCTATGGGCTGAAGCAGGCTGGCCGCCAGTGGCGCATCAAGTTGGTTGCCAAGCTGACTGCCATGGGGTTCAAGTGCATCAAGTCTGACAGCTCCTGCCACATCTACTCTGATGGTGTGGTTCGCGTTATCCTGCCCATCTATGTTGATGATGGCACCATTGCGGCAAAGCATGATGCTGACATTGACAAGGTCATTGCCTAGCTTGGCACAGCCTTCAAGATGCGGGATCTGGGTCCCACAGAGTGGCTTCTGGGGATCAAGATAGAGCGTGATGAGCACACTGGAGATATCAGCATCTCCCAGCGCCAGTATGCTGTGAATCTCCTGGAGCAGTATGACATGGCTAACTGCAAGCCTGTGGACACGCCCATGCTGCCTGGCCTGTCTCTGACCAAGGAGATGGGAGCCAAGACTGAGGAGGGGTCCAAGCAGTTCAAGGGCAACTATCTGTCTGCTGTTGGCTCTCTGATGTACCTGGCCTGTCAGACTCGTCCTGACATCTCCTATGCTGTGGGGGTGCTAGCGCGCTTCAATAGCAATCCTGGTGAAGAGCACTGGAAGGCTGTCAAACACCTTCTGCGATACATCCAGGGCACCCTTGACTTCCGCATCACCTACTCCAAATCCTCGCCCACCCTCTACGACCCAGCTACCCACATCCATCCTGACGACCTCTTCACCACTTTCACTGATGCTGATCATGCTGGAGACAAGGACTCCATGAAAAGCACTGGGGGGTATGTTATCATGATAGCTGGTGGACCAGTGAGCTGGAGGAGCAAGCTGCAGTCCACCATCTCTCTGTCCACCACTGAGGCAGAGTATGTGGCTGGTGTGGATGCTGGGAAGGAGATCAAGTGGATGCGGAATCTGCTGCATGAGCTGGAGCATGGTGTGTCTGGGGCATCTCCCTTGATGATGGACAACCAGTCTGCCATATCTGTGTCCAAGAATCCTGAACACCATGGGCGTATGAAGCATCTGGACCTTGCACACTACTGGCTCAGAGATGAAGTGGCCAGAGGGTTCATTGATGTGAAGTATGTGCCAACGCAGGACCAGCTGGCTGACATTATGACCAAGGCGCTGCCTCGGCCTCAGGTGGCAAGGTTGCGCACACTGATGAGATTGCGGAGGAGAGGCTGAGAGACTGATCTCATCCCGGGGGAGTGTTGAGGATGGGTTTTGGACTTGATCACTCTCTGGTGATTGGGTCACATGATCACCTGATTCCATCTGATCCTATCACTGATTACATCACTGATGATATCTGATTCCATCACTGTTCCCATCATTCCATCATTCTGGTCACATGACTCCAGGTCACATGATTCCTGTACAGTCACATGCTCCATCTACATAGATAGTTCCTCCCTCCCTGGAGTTCTTCAGCTTCTTACTGTTGACTCCAGGTCTGTAGATTCTTTTCTTGTCTTGTCTTGCAATGCAGAGCTTCTTACTGTTGACTCCAGTCCTCTCTGCATTTCCTGCTTCAACACGTACCCTGCGTCCTCAGCCAGCATCTCGAAGTCAGAGATATAATCCGCAAAGGACCGTCTGCCCTGGCGAAGGGCCATGAGTCGGGCAGCAGCGACTTGTTCTGCGTTAGAATCCCCAAAGGCCCTCTGGAGCTCCTCCAAGAAGCTTGTTGTGGTGACTCCCGCCTTCAGTCCTTGGAAGCCCTCGAAATTGTGCTGCTTCCAGTTCATCGCCCATCTCGAGGCAGCGCAGCTTGTGCCGGTCTCATTACGGAGATAGGAAAAGACAAAGAGGATTTTTGTCTCGTTCAGCGAGAACTCCGATCAATAGGCACCAATGTAGGTGGTGCATGCGTCCACAAAGCCCAGGTACTTGGACTTGTTGCCATCGAAGTAGGGGGGATTGGCGGCAAGGGTGATGCAGTGATGTCCTAACATAGTAGGAGCAGGCATGGTAGGTGGGGGTGGTTGTTCGGAGGGTAACTCGTCGAGGTCGGGGATCTCGTCTTCAGGCGGCGGGAGGGCAAGGTAGGGATTGGAGGGCCCGGGTTGGTTGTGGTGCGCCAGATCGGACGACGATGGTACAATGGGGAGAGGGGACAGGCTCCCAGACAACAATGGGAATCGGAACAAAATGGTGGATTTGTGTGCTGTACAAGCACTCAAGGAAAGGTTCTTTTGCTAGCAAAAAGATCCCAGGCCTAGCTCTTCACGTGCCCAATGATCCCAAGGTACGTTTTCCCAAAAGTCTCCGCAGCACTCCTTGTAGCTACCGTAAGGCTTGAGTCAGGCTCAACATTACCCGTGGCCTAGTGCTGTTTGCTCGATATGAACCCTTCACTGCGATCACGGAGAACAACTAGATGATTCGGTAAAGGGGTGAGTCAGATGATAAGGGTGCAGAGGATATAGCGGGCATAGCAGTGAGGGATGCAGTGGTAAGAGGTATGAGGTAGGAGGGTAGGAGGGGAGTCTTCGAATTATGTGACAATCAACCCAAAAATAAAGTCGAAAAGAGAAGTGAATTTGAAGACTGGAGAATACAACCAAGTAGCTACTGTATTTATACTAAGTCCAGTCTGAGTCTTATCTACATCAAACAAGTCATCTAACTATGTACCGTGTGGAGCTTTGGTCATGGGTTGTAGTATAGACTTCTGGAGCACACACCACGTGACCTCCTGTGCAGATAACCCTCTTGAACCCTAAACCCGGACCGTGTGGTGCCGTGATCTGTAATAAGATAGTCCCATGTCAATGATAAGATAAGGTGATCAATGGAATGATTGTAAAAAATAATTGAATCATGACACATTGCATAGAACTATCTAGAGCCAAGGAAGAAGTGCACATTCTTCAATCAGGCCACGATGCTTGAAGAAATCAAGAACAGGGACAAGAACAACAAGTTCCTCAAGGAGATTACTGAGAAGCTGCGCAAGAAGGGTTTTTGAAGTGCTCCACTCCTCTAGCCAAGGAGGTGGAGCATCCAGACTATGGACATTTTTCTGTACTTGTTTTGATTAAAGATACAAACAATATTCCTTACTATACATATAAACTCCCTGACTCACTACATACTAATATTCATGATTTTCTTGTTGCTAAAATGGAAAAAGAACGCAAAGAAAAAATAGCTCTAAATAGAAAATATCTGCAAGATGAAAAGGATCAGAAGATAGCAGCTGCGGATAAATTGTTTTTGGACTCCTATGTATTTATGTCTCATGGAGAAGGAACCACATCAACAAAGACCAAAAAGGGGAGCATTGCTCCAAAGGCTCAATCCTTGGAAAAGGAGGAAGTACCTCAGGAATCTGCCAAAATCAAGGTTCCAGAAGCACCCAAACGTACAAGGGTGCCAGATGCCATCCAGAGGAAATTGGCAGCCAAGAAACAGAAGGGCCTCCAGCCTAGCAGATTGGTGCAGGACTTGTGCAACTACCAGGCAGAGAGGAAGAGGTATTCAATGGACGTGTATGTCCAGATCACGGGCCTGGATTCGGGGAAAACATGTGGAGTCAAGGCACTGCTTGATAGTGATTGTAGCACCTGTTGTATTGATACTGACTACGCACAAGCAGAGAGATTGGACATCCAAAAGCTTCCACAACTCATCGTGGCTTGTGACGCTGACAATACCAAGAACATCAGCGGTCAAATCACCCATTATTGTCATAATTCGACTCTTTTTCATCTTATCCTCGACGATCTCATCTTATCTCGACACGGAATTATCTTCTCACGGATCACGGCATCTGATGGTCCAGGCTAGGGGAACAGGGGTCATCTTTATTGATTCAAGGCTGCGCGACATATGCTCTGGAAGGTTCTACTACAACCCATGACCAGCGTTCCATGCGGTACATAGCCCTATGACTCATTAGTTGTAGATATGGCTCAGACTGGATTTGGGTATAAATACTGTAGCTACTTGGTTGTATTCTCCAGTCTTCAAATTCACTTCTCTTTTCGACTTTATTTTTGGGTTGATTGTCACATAATTCGAAGACTCCCCTCCTACCCTCCTACCTCATACCTCTTACCACTGCATCCCTCACTGCTATGCCCGCTATATCCTCTGCACCCTTATCATCTGACTCACCCCTTTACCGAATCATCTAGTTGTTCTCCGTGATCGCAGTGAAGGGTTCATATCGAGCAAACAGCACTAGGCCACGGGTAATGTTGAGCCTGACTCAAGCCTTACGGTAGCTACAAGGAGTGCTGCGGAGACTTTTGGGAAAACGTACCTTGGGATCATTGGGCACGTGAAGAGCTAGGCCTGGGATCTTTTTGCTAGCAAAAGAACCTTTCCTTGAGTGCTTGTACAGCACACAAATCCACCATTTTGTTCCGATTCCCATTGTTGTCTGGGAGCCTGTCCCCTCTCCCCATTGTACCATCGTCGTCCGATCTGGCGCACCACAACCAACCCGGGCCCTCCAATCCCTACCTTGCCCTCCCGCCGCCTGAAGACGAGATCCCCGACCTCGACGAGTTACCCTCCGAACAACCACCCCCACCTACCATGCCTGCTCCTACTATGTTAGGATATCACTGCATTGTTGATAAAATGGCTGAACCAGGAATTGAACCTAGGACCTCTGACTTGGATCGTCCAGTGCTCTAACCACTGAGCTATTCTGCCTTGGTGCTGGGATTCCCAACTCCAACATGCATCACCCTCGCCGCCAATCCCCCCTACTTCGATGGCAACAAGTCCAAGTACCTGGGCTTTGTGGACGCATGCACCACCTACATTGGTGCCTATTGATCGGAGTTCTTGCTGAACGAGACAAAAATCCTCTTTGTCTTTTCCTACCTCCGTAATGAGACCGGCACAAGCTGTGCTGCCTCGAGATGGGCGATGAACTGGAAGCAGCACAATTTCGAGGGCTTCCAAGGACTGAAGGCGGGAGTCACCGCGACAAGCTTCTTGGAGGAGCTCCAGAGGGCCTTTGGGGATTCTAACGCAGAACAAGTCGCTGCTGCCCGACTCATGGCCCTTCGCCAGGGCAGACGGTCCTTTGCCGACTACATCTCCGACTTTGAAATGCTGGCTGCGGACGCCGGATACAATGTGGTCACCACCACCAATGACCAGGGCGAATACAAGAAGGGGGATCAAGACAATATCCTCATCAAGTTTCTTGAGCGCGGGCTCAGCAGCGAGATTGCGAGCTGCCTCTACAACACCAGTGTTCCCCTGCCCAAGGCATACGGCGCCTTCAAGAACTGGTATGTTAACATCGAGGCCAATGCCTTGCGTGACCAGCTGCGTAAGGCATCCTATGCGCACTTGACTCCACGGCCCCCCCCCAATTCCGCCCTCAGACAGCACCAGCGGCGCCCACACCTGCTCCGACCCGGCCGGCTGCCAACGAACTGGTCCCAATGGAAATCAATTGCACCCATGCCCGCGGCCGCAATATCATCTGCTACAACTGTCAGCAGCCTGGGCACATCGCGCGGAATTGTCCGGAGCCTAGGAAGAAGTGCACGTTCTTCAATCGAGCCATGATGCTTGAAGAGATCAAGAACGGGGACAAGGACAACGAGTTCCTCAAGGAGATTGCCGAGAAGCTGCATGAGAATGTTGGTAAAATGGCTGAACCAGGAATTGAACCTGGGACCTCTGATAAGTGCAACCAGTGCTCTAACCAACTGAGCTATTCTGCCAATAGTGCTTGGGGCCCATACTCCAACAGAGAAGGGTTTTTGAAGCGCTCCACTCCTCTAGCCAAGGAGGTGGAGCATCTGGACTATGGACGATTTTCTATACTTGTTTCAATTAAAGACATGAACGATTCTGCACATACATATACAATCTCGGACTCACTATGTATTAATATTCACGATTTTCTCATTGCTGATATGGAAAAAAAATGCCAAAGAAAAATAGCTTTAAATAGAGAGTATTTACAAAGTAAAAAGGATCAGAAAGCTGCAGATAAATTAATTTTGGATTCACACGTATTTATGGCTCGTGGAGAAGGAACCACGTCAACAAAGACCAAAAAGGGGAGCATCGCTCCGAAGGCTCAATCCTTGGAAAAGGAGGAAACGCCTAAGGAATCTGCCAAAATCAAGGTTCCAGAAGCACCCAAACGCACCAGGGTGCCAGATGCTGTCCAGAGGAAATTGGCGGCCGAGAAACAGAAGGGCCCCCAGCCCAGCAGGTTGGCGCAGGAATTGTGCAGTTACCAGGCCGAAAGGAAGAGGCATTCGATGGACGTATATGTCCAGATCACGGGTCTGGACTCAGGGAAAACGCACGGAGTCAAGGCGCTGCTCAATAGCGGCTGCAGTACCTGCCACATCGATACTGACTACGCACAGGCGGAGAAGTTGGATATCCAAGAGCTTCCACAACCCATTGTGGCTCGTAATGCCGACAACACCAAGAACATCAGCGGTCGGATCATGCACTACGTCGATCTGAGGATGAGAATCGGTCCTCATGTGGAGACACGCATGTTCCTTCTGACGTGCTTAGGGAAAGCCCGGATCTTCATCGGTCTTGATTGGCTGATGGAACACAACCCCAAGGTGGATTGGCAGGAGCAGACCATGAGATTCAGCCGATGCCCAGAGCGGTGTCACATGAGGGGTCACGAGGAACATCAAGCGATGATTGACATAGATGCAATCGACCTGGACACGGGCACACCGGATCTGGAAGAGGGAGAATCGATCCTGCTGGTCGATTTTGGGAAGGAAGGACCTGCGGCTGAAGGAAACGCCGGCGCAGAAATTTGCAGAAGAAGCAGAAAAGGAGAAGGAGAGAATGACCGAGGGAAAGATTCCGGATCAATATCGGGAATTTGTCAAGGTATTCGCCAAGGAATTGTTCGACTCACTACCGGACCGACGGACATGGGATCATGCAATTGAGCTCAAACCTGGTTCCAAAGCAGTGGACTGCAAGGTGTACCCGTTATCACACAATGAACAAGTCAAACTCGACGAATTTTTACAAGAAAACCTGGCCAGCGGACGGATTAGACCATCAAAATCACCCATGGCTTCAGCATTCTTCTTTGTCAAAAAGAAGGATGGTTTGCTACGTCCCGTTCAAGATTATTGGAAGCTGAATGAGATGACAATCCGGAATCGATACCCGCTGCCGCTGATCTCCAAACTGGTCCATAATCTATGCGGCGCAAAGTTCTTCACCAAGCTCGACATCCGGTGGGGATATAACAATGTACGGATCAAAGAGGGCAACAAGTGGAAGTCTGCATTCCGCACGAACCGAGGGCTATACGAGCCCTTAATTATGTTCTTTGGTCTCACGAACTCCCCGGCAACGTTCCAAAACATGATGAACAACATACTCCGAGAGTTGATCAACAAGGGTCACATGGTAGTCTATCTGGATGATATACTGATCTTCACAGAGAGCTTGGACAAACATCGGCGGATCACGAAACGAGTGCTCAAATTGCTCCAGAAACACAAGCTATACCTGAAGCCTGAAAAGTGCGAGTTTGAACGCACGGAAATCGAATATTTGGGTGTAATTATTGGACACAATTCAATGCGGATGGACCCAGTCAAGATCAAGGGTGTGATGGAATGGCCAGAACCAAAGAGCATCAAACAAGTCCAAGCGTTTCTAGGGTTCACAAACTTCTACCAATGCTTTGTCTGGGGATACGTGGAGGTCGCCAAGCTGTTGACACGGCTGACAGGGAAGGCAGGATGGTCATGGGGTACGGATGAGCGTGCAGCATTTGATAGGTTGAAGAAGAGAATCGCGGAGGATGCGGTCTTAGCACTGCCAAACGACACCGGCCAATATCGTCTGGAAGCCGATGCTTCGGAAGGGGCAACAGGATCCGTTTTGAGCCAAAACCAAGACAGCATTTGGCACCCAATCGCATTTATTTCGCACGCATTGACTGAAACCGAGCAAAATTATGAGATCTACGACAAGGAAATGCTTGCAATCATGTTATCGCTTGACGAATGGAGGCAGTTACTCCTGGGAGCCACGGAAACGTTCGAGATCTTCACTGATCATCAGAATCTTGAGTACTTTTGGAAGCCGCAGAAGCTCAATCGACGGCAAGCGCGATGGATCACAGAGTTGGCGGAGTTCGACTTCACCTTACAACACTAGCCCAGCGCACTCAACCACAAGGCGGATCTCTTATCTCAATGAGCAGATCACAATCAGGGCAAGAATGACAACAAGGACGTCACTTTGCTGAAGCCCGAGTTCTTCCAATCACAAGAAGTCACATTCAAAGGGCAAGATCAGCAGCTGATTGATAAGATCAAGGTTGTTCAATCGATTAATGGAAGTGTCAAGGTGGCCTTGGAGAAGTCACTCGTGTTGAACACAGAAAACTCAGATGGGAGCTGCAGGAGGCTAGGGGCACAGATGGGAGGTGAAAAGCCCAGTCTGTCACATTGATCTAGGGCTATGTACTGATGGTCACATAGCTAAGTAACACTCTTTTGTCTAAACCAAGCAAGACATCCTTTCCACACTTCAACAACTTGTCGGATAGAAAAAGGAAAATAGGCTTATCACATATCATGGGAAGCTCTGTTTACTGAGGGACAAGGAGTTGTGGAACAAGATCATTGGGCTACACCACGACCCACCTTTGGTCAGACATGCTGGGATCAACTGAACGCAGGAGATGGTGGAAAAGAACTACTGGTGGCCTAGGATGAGAAACCAAATTCAGAAATACATCCAGACGTGCAAGGCGTGCCAGCGGACCAAGACCAGGAGAGCAAGGACAGGGACTCTGCATCCGCATGCAGTCCCAAATGCGCCATGGGAAATCATCTCCATGGATCAAATTGGACCCCTACCGGTCAGTAACGGGTATGACACAATTCATGTGTGGTGTGACACCTTCACCAAAATGATCCATGTCGAACCAATTATTACTGACATCAGCAGTGAAGGAGTCGCACAATTAACCAGGGACCGAGTCTTCCACTACCACAGGATCCCCCACAAGATCATCACCGACAGGGATTCGTGTTACATCAAAGGCTTCATGAAGGAGACAAATCAGATGTTGGGCATGGAAATGAATCCGGGGACCGCATATCACCCGATCACAGATGGACAAACGGAACGCATGAATCAGGAGATCGAGCACTATCTCCGCATCTACGTCAATTACCATCAGACGGACTGGTCGGAGTGGCTGGGAATGGCGGAGTTCGCATATAATGACAAAATCAACACGTCTACCAAAATATCACTGTTCTACGCCAATCATGGATATCACCCATAGAAGGGAGTGGAACAACGGATGGAATCGAGGAACGAGTCGGCGGAGGAGTTTGTAAAAAGAATCAAAGAAATACAAGACAAAGCAAAAGCAGCATTGGAAAAAGCAAAAGAAAAAATGAAAAAATACTACAATAAACAAAGAAAAGAAGTTCCAGAGTTGAAGGTTGGGATGAAGGTGTACATAGAAGGGGAAAATATCGAGACAGATAGACCATCAAAGAAGATGAGCAACAAGAGATTAGGACTATACAAGATACTGGAGAAGGTTGGAGCGGCCGCATGGAAGCTGGATTTGCCGGACACGGACCAAAGACACCCGGTGTTCAACGAGTCACTATTGACACCATATCATGAACCACCCCCCCCCATCGCCGAGAGAAGAGGCCCGTAGCCAAGATGATCGGAGGAGCAGAGGAGTGGGAAGTCGAAGAGATCGTGAAAGAGCGAAACGTCGGCCAAGGAAAACAGTACTTGGTCAAATGGAAGGGCTGGCCGCATAGCAAAAATACTTGGGAACCATCACGTCATCTTACCCACACAAAGAAGGTCCTGAGAGATTGGCAGAGGAAACAATCCAACCCAGACACACGCATTCGCCTCCTGCCAACGCTCGAAGCTGGACACTGGGATTATCTCATTCATCGCTACAAACCCAAAGACGAGCGCCTTCCATATCCCCAGCGACAACTCTTTGATCTCTACGAGAACGTCTTCACGCCCATTGGCCTAGTTGATGAGGACATCGACCCTAGAGAGGGGGTAATGTCATAATTCGACTCTTTTTCATCTTATCCTTGACGATCTCATCTTATCTCGACACGGAATTATCTTATCACGGATCACGGCATCTGACGGTCTGGGCTAGGGGAACAGGGGTCATCTTTATCCATGACCAGCATTCCATGCGGTACATAGCCCTATGACTCATAAGTTGTAGATATGGCTCAGACTAGATTTGGGTATAAATACTGTAGCTACTTGGTTGTATTCTCCAGTCTTCAAATTCACTTCTCTTTTCAACTATTATTTTGGGTTGATTATCACAATTATGTCGACTTGAGGATGAGAATTGGTCGTCATGTGGAGACATGCACGTTCCTTCTGACGTGTCTAGGAAAAGCTCAGATCTTCATTAGTCTTGATTGGTTGATGGAACACAACCCCAAGGTGGATTAGCAGGAGCAGATGCTGGGATTTCCAACTCCAACAACGAGGAGCACCAGGCAATGATTGATATGGATACAATGGACCTGGACACGGGCACACCTATCTGAAAGAGGGAGAATCAATCCTGTTAGTCAACTTTGGGAAGGAAGTGGATCTACGGCTGAAGGAAATGCTGGCACAGAAGTTCGTAGAAGAAGCGGAAAAAGAGAAGGAGAGAATGACCAAGGGGAAGATTCCAGATCAATACCAGGAATTTGTCAAGGTGTTTGCTAAAGAATCATTTGACTCACTACCAAACTGACAGACATGGGACCATGCAATTGAACTTAAACCCAGTTCCAAGGCAGTGGACTGCAAAGTATTGTTGAACACAGAAAACACAGATAGGAGCCGCAGGAGGCTAGGGGCACAGATGGGAGGCAAAAAGCCCAGTAGGTCACATTGATCTGATGCTATATACTATGTGTCACGGAGTAATGTCACACCCTTTGTCCAAACCAAGCACACACAATATCCACACATCAACAAGTATACCCACTGTCACGAGACAAACAGGTCAAGCTAGACGAGTTTCTAGAAGAGAATCTAGCTAGTGGACAGATCCGACTATCAAAATCACCCATGGCATCAGTGTTCTTCTTTGTCAAGAAAAAGGATGACTCACTACACCCTGTCTAAGATTATTGGAAGTTGAATGAGATGACTATCTGAAATCAATACCCGCTGCCGCTGATCTCTGAACTGGTCCATAATCTATGCGGTACCAAGTTCTTCATGAAGTTAGACATCCGTTGGGGATACAACAATGTACAGATCAAAGAGAGTGACAAGTGAAAGGCCACGTTCCATACAAACCGTGAACTGTACAAGCCCTTGGTTATGTTCTTTGGTCTCATGAATTCCTCGGCAACCTTTCAAAACATGATGAACAACATACTCTGGGAACTGATCAACAAGGGTCATGTGGTAGTTTATCTTGACGGTATATTGATCTTTACAGAAAACTTGGACAAACATTGGCAGATCACAAAACAAGTGCTCAAATTGCTCCAAAAGCACAAGTTGTACCTGAAACCCAAAAAGTGCAAGTTCGAACACACAGAAATTGAATATCTGGGTGTAATTATTGGGCACAACTCAATGCAGATAGACCCAGTCAAGATCAAGGGTGTGATGGAATGGCCAGAACCAAAGAGCATTAAACAAGTCCAAGCATTCTTGGGATTCACCAACTTCTATTGGCACTTTGTTCAAGGATATGCAGAGGTGGCAAAGCCATTGACACAGCTGACAGAGAAGCCAGGATGAGCGCACA